TTTTTTTTTTTTTTTTTTTTTTTTTTTTTTTGGTTTGTTTTCTTTTCTCTCTTTTCTTTTCGGTCGTTGTTGTTTATTTCTTTTTGCTGCCACGTTCCGTGATCAAGGTTAGCCGGGAGCTAAGTAGGGGTCCGAGAAGTTGGCGGCTGCTTTTTCCTGGGTCGATGAGATATTGAATGCTTGACGTCTTGTTCGCTGATATCCAAGGATAGAGTAAGAGGCATTGGCCCCTCCTCATGTTGAGACGATGTGTAGAAAAGAAAAGTGCTCTACTTGTAACTCAAGCTGCCTAGGTCGATCCATGACGTCTGCTCTACAGAGTGCGGAGCGGTCGGTTGTTCAACATGGTCAACGCTCTCTCATAACTTTGAAGCTAGAGGGCTGGTTCTAAGTAGTAGGAAGCTGGCCATGGAAAAGTTTTAACTATCCTTATAACCCAGGGAAACAACACGAATTCTCGTGTTGGGGTGGCGGCTGTCAGTTAATATTGAAGGCATGTCTGCGTATGAATGTATATTTATCACAACTTTCCTTCCTTTCGTAGATATTTTTCACTCACGTCGAGAACATTTCGTGTTGCGAGTCGCGTGGCATGCAAGCTCTGAAAGGTCCCTGGTCATTATGTTCATCAGGATTTGAGCACAAGGTGTTCTCCTCTAGAAATCGGGCTGTAGGGGCGTTTGTTTTTCGGTCTAATGCCTCATGCCTGGCGAGAAAGGGAAAACTGTAGAAACGCCTCGGGTTTCAGGATGATGTTTACTTTTCCTTCAGCCTTTTCCCAGATATATGCACAACTTACATACAGATATCGCCGCTCCACATGGGATCCCAGGGGAGAGGGAGCCGAGACGTCAGCTTGGAAAAGCAGACATACCAAAAGCAAATTTTTGATTCTCGTTGTAAATCCAACTTGAGGCTACACCGTTTCTGTTGCTAGTAGGACGCCGATGTTGGCTGTTCGAATCCACGATGCGGGCTCCGCCTGGACAAGCCACCGATCGGCTTTCCCTTTTGCCGGGAGTGCCTGTGCTGAAAACAAGCCGATACATACAGTTTTTTGACGTCCCAAGAGTCCTTTGCTGAAGATTTCATGCATCTCATCGATGGAGTATCAAGATTAAAATAGCATCCGCAGTGGAGATGGGAGCTCTCAAAGCACCGAAGAAGAAACGTTGAGGTTGAAAAGTCGAAGTCTTTCGGTCGTCGCTTTTGCGCGAGTTCGTTAACTGCTTAGCTCAGCCATCGGCCGTTTTCCATTGGCCAGCGGCGACCACATAGGCCTTTTATTGGCCAATCAAAATACGCTACACGGGCCAATCGCCTGCATCCTCCGCTTACCTCAGCCACCGAAATAGGAAAGCTCACGAGCTTCTTATTCGCCTGATAAAAAATCCGACGTCACGCTATTTCCGACGTCCCCGCCGCTTCCAAACGTCAACCAACCTCGACACTGGAATGCCGGCGCTGGCGAGACGTATCAGATGGGCGTGGGAGATCAAGAAAAGAGGATACGTACGCGGCAGTTGTTCAGCCGGCTGAGCCACAGTTGATGACTAGCCATTATATCAGCCTCGATCCGACCACCACGATTTCATCCCATCCGTTTTTCGTCCATTTCCTAGGGATACGACCCACATGAATCCCCGTCATTTGGGACCGTACGCACCAACCCTTGCAGCGCTTAGCAGAGCAAAAGAACGAAAAAAAAAAAAAAGCCTCTTCTCAGGCCGGATGTGCTCGAAATCTTCCGCGATTGGCGGCAGGTCTCGTGCCTCTGCCGGATCTTTACGGATGTCAGGCCAATAAGAGCAGTTGCTAGTCTGGGGACAAGTGAGAAAGCGACAGTTGGAGGGGATGGGTGGACGGGCATGCTCTCCAATCAGGCGTCAGCCACCCTGGCCCAACAATCAGCAGCTAGCAAACAATAGTCTGGGAGCTCGCCACTTCGAACAACCAGCGACTCCATAGCCCGGAGTTACGGTACACAACCTAAATAATGAGAGGTCAAGGGAGTGCGCTACTGACGACCTGACAGCGTACGGGACGAAGACACCACGGAGTACTACTTATTTTATGTATGGATGGAAGGGTGCCATCGTACTCTGTACGCACTCACGGTTGGGGTACGCACCAAGGATGTACTTTGTAATTGGTGGCCCATCCAGAGTGGACAGGGTTGCGTACCCCATTAGTCGGTCTCCAGAGGCAGGATTGATATGATTGATTGAATTGCCGTGGCTCTCACGAAATGCTAACTCTGCTACGGGGTTTCGATCGAGAATTTGCCAGATAATCAGCATGCTCTGTACGGGAACCAAGGTTGGGCTGTCCATCCATCACTCGAAGGAGCTAGACCTGGGGGTGGGAGAGGTTTCAAAGAGCCAAGGCAGTTCTTGGCTCTGGTTGTCGGCTGACCGTGTTTTGATGGAGAGTTCACCTTCTCTTTCTCAGAAATTGTGCCGTATTTCTCGGCGTGCAACTATAACGCCTGCTCCGCTTTCTTGACGGCGAACAGATAGGCTTCTTTGGTCTGGTCGCTGTGCTGATCGCCTGTCACCATTTTGCTTCCCTACCCTCGGAAGCAAGGCATGGCGAGGGAGAACACTTGGTTTCGGGGGATGAACCTGTCTGTCATCCTCATGAACAGTGCATGGCCCAACCCAACAGGAGCTCGGAGACAGCTAGAGGACATGGGGAAGGGAGAGAGGGTGGAAAACAAGTCCCTTGATCATCGATTGTTCCAGGACCCCCCTGACTGTTGCATTACGCTAAAAGCTCCGTGCCCTCCGTGTATTATATTTCGACACTGTGGAGGGGCTTTTGGGCATTCCGAATTGAGCGTCAATGGTCTACCAATTTTGGGCGACTAGTGGTACTCCACTACCCTCGCCTGTCCTACTCCAGACCTGACCCTCGAATGGACCACCTCTGGCCAGTGGGATGTGGCATTTTGCTTTTTCCACCCTCGCCAGGCTTCCTTTTTCTCCCTCGACCGCCCACCACAATGGGCTCTGCCACCATTTCAGCCTTAGCCTAACCAAGCCTTAGGCTCGATTTAGGTCCTCTCGGCTGCATACAGAGTCTCCATAGACTTGAACTCAAGCCCGCTTTTCCTGTCCAAACATGGATGCCGGCCGCCAGATCACAATCCTGCATCTGAGCTTGCTTTCGTCCACACCCCTTCTCCCTTCTGCCCCTAAAATACCCACTTTTTTCTTCTTCGCCCTCCCTCCCTCTCTCCCTCTTTTTTTTTTTTTTAATCTTCTCTTGTGCTACCAATCTGGTATTTTTTAGGTGTTTGAATCCGTGCGATCCCTAGCTCATTCGTCGGAAACGTTAGACCATCCCTCTGCCATGACGATAAATTACTCAGGATCCGTTCTCTTTTCGGTGTTGCAGGGAGAAACAGAAAGCCAACACTAGAGAGCCAGCAGAGAAAGGTAGGCAGGCAAACCGGCAAACCCACCAAGAGATAGGGAGTGACATACCGTCAGACGGAGAGAACCAGAATTTCCGCGGTACCGCCCAAAACGAACAAGCCGAACGACTCTTTTTTTATTACGCTTCCTTACATATCAAAACCTCTCCATCTCTTGGAGCATATGACCCACAGGAAGGCATCCACCCAGCATCCAACCGCCAAATAGACTCGCTTCTGCATCTCACGTTCGATGAATCGCGATCTACATATACATGCACTCTCGCACGCCTGCGCACTGTTATCAAGCAGCATCTCACCATCTTCACCTATAGCTTGACTCCCCCTGGCAATCCTATTGAAGTGAAAGGCCGGCTGTTAAACCCCACTCTGCAGCTTCGCTAACGTCAAGTTTCCGCGACCAAGCTTCAAGGGAGAGTTTAAGCTATCGGAAGAGAGTTTTTGTTACTTTCGTTCCGTATTATAACACTGCGGATTACATCCCCGACGATTTCACCTTGAGAGAGTGGTCATTTGCTCCATTTATATCGTTCACTCGATTTATCTCTTTCTTTTCCCTTTTCCTTTTTCTTTTCCTTTTTCTTTTCCCTCCTCTCCCCGCGACCAAAAATCATACCAATGATTTATGCTTAATTTTTCCTTCTGCCGCTGATATATAATTTATACATAAGCTCCTTTTCTCCCTCCCAACCTTCCCTTTTGCGAGACTTCTTGCCCACATCCTCAGGGAAACGAAACCCCTAGCATCGGACAACAAACACTACTTGGTGTTGGTCACGGTCTTTGTTGCCTGTTGCCTCGCCGCGCCGACAGCCAATCGCCGTGCAGGATCGTCGAGCCAACTTTTTTTCCCCTTCGCCTCAGCCCAGCAAGTGACCTCTTCTTTTTTTTCCTTACGACCAAGTCACCGCCTGGTTTTCTGGCTGTCTGGCATCAACCAAGGAAGAGGACAGCACAGCATCAACAACGTCTGTTTCTCACCGCAGCATCCTTGCCTTCTCGCTCCATTGACGTCTTCTCGCGACGCTCCCTAGACTGTATCGCCCTCTAGATTCGTTCTCCGTCGCTGACGACGTGTTTCAATCACTTTTGTTCTCTCGACTTTTCCGTCGACTTTTGTCAACACCACATAGCCAGGTAGAAGCCAGATTAACAGCAGATATCCTCATATCAACCTGCGAATACCCGTGTGAACATAGCAAGAGAGGCCTTGAAAAGAGCATCGAGAAGCAACACATAGGTGAATAGGAAAGAAGGAAATAATAAAAAAAAAAAAGGAAAAAAAAAAAAAAAAAAGAAAAAGAAAAAGAAAATATTCACCGAGCAGCACGAATCCGAAAAAGAAACATAAGAGAAAAAGCACCCAGCAGGCAAAAACAAATAATTACACTCGTTGTCTCTTAACCCCAGGCCGTTGGATCGTTGTTCTTTCCCTTCAGCATTGGACAGCTACACCTTGTTGACGTCTAAAACACATCGTCGACTGCCTTCGAACGTCGCTCCTGCCCGGGGATGTGGTTCGGCCACCACACTTGGAGCATCAATATCTTTGTGATCCAAAATGGAGACCGCAGTGCCTGTTCCGTGCACTTTTTCTAGCCACGATCTGGCTAATGTCACTCATCGACGCATGATGGCACCTCACCACGAGCAAAACATCACTTACTACTCGAACCCGGCGCTTTCGTATGCAGCTCCGATCCAGTCCTCCTCGCTCGACTTCGGCCATATTCTGAATACCAACCAGCACCCGGCGGCATCCTACCACGGATTCTTTGGACAGAACCATTCGCAGCAGCAACCACCGCCGCCACAGCAGCAACAGCAGCAGCAGCAGCAGCACCCGCATCATCCACAGCATCATCCGCAACACCATCCGCAACACCAACCGCAACACCCTCATCAGCCCCATCAACCACATCCGCAGCACCAGCAGCACCCACCGCATCAGCCTCACCCATCTCACCAACCTCACCCATCGCATCAGCCGCATCAACCGCACCAGCAGCAACAGCATCAACCGCATCCGCACCACCCACAGCACCCACAGCAGCAACAACCACCACCGCCTCCTCCTCACGCGCAACATCCCCAGCATCCACAGCATCACCCTCACCCACAGCAGCAGCAGCAGCATCAACAACCGCAGGCGCAACCTCAGCCGCACTTGCCACCTTCGCAGTCACGGTTGCCACCGAACCAACCCACTACTTTGCAACAGCCAATTCAGGAGCCTCGGCACGCAAAGAATGGCGTCTCTCGCATGGTTGGGACACCGGCCACACGGGTTGAGGAAACGCAGCCTGCGCGTGCCCCTATTGATCAACCACCTCGGAGTGCCGAAATCAGCAAGCTGCCGTCACCACCAGGTAGCAAGCCAGAGGTCGAGTTCTCCACCGAAATCGATACTCTCATGAGGGCAATTCAATCAAAGCCACGAACCACGTCGCAAACTCAGCTACAACTGCCGCCACTCCAAAAGTTCAACAATGGCACGTCTACGTCGAGTAACGTTGCCATGCACGGGGGTGCTCCCGAATGGGCTCAACCAAACTATGGTGCTCCCATGTCACAGGAACAGGCCCAACAGATACAACAGCCCGGCTACGCCCCTCATCAACAAACTCGTGGTGCGTCGAAGCAAAAGTCGCGACGCAAATATGAATGTACTCTTCCCGACTGTCGCAAGAACTTTACCCAGAAGACCCATTTGGACATTCACATGCGAGCTCATACCGGTGATAAACCATTCGTATGTAAACCCCACAATGCTGTCTCATCAACCTTAAATGAAGTCGGCTTACTGACTCTGGTAATGCATATAGCTCTGCAGCGAGCCCGGCTGTGGCCAACGATTCTCTCAATTAGGAAATCTGAAGGTAAATTGGCGATAACCCCTGATCTGAAATTATCAAATTTGGCTAAACTGACCTGCTTGTCTAGACTCATGAACGGCGACACACAGGAGAGAAGCCTTATTCCTGTGATATCTGTCACAAGCGTTTTGCTCAGCGAGGGAATGTTCGCGCCCACAAGATTACCCATGATCAAGCAAAGCCGTTTACTTGCAGGCTAGATGACTGTGGAAAGCAGTTCACTCAACTCGGAAACCTCAAGGTATGTTATTTACTGATTGAAATGAAGGATCACGGAGAAAAGTAACCCTGACACTAACATCATAATAGTCTCACCAAAACAAGTTCCATGCGCAGACTCTACGGAACCTCACTGTGCGCTTTGCTATGATAACTGAACCTGACAGAATGAGCCCGCAGGACGCCGAGCTATGGGAGTACTTTGCCATGCTCTATAAAAACAGCAACAAGGGAATCAAAGGTCGTGGCAAGGATCGTCGTGTTTCGTCAACTGCCAAAACCCGCGCGAATTCTACCAAGACGACCACCTCAGATGCCGCTGCCAATAATATCATCAGTTCTGCTCCTGCTCCTGCTCCCGCCGCCCCCTCAAGTAGCAGAATGCCCGCACACCAGCTCCCTCTTGGCAGTGAAGAAGAAGCGAAGCTGATGCGAGAGAGAAGCTACCATCGTGGTACTTACCTTGGGACACCCAGCAGTGATGATGTTGAATTTCATGAACAGATGTATCAACGAGGCGCGCACTGACTGGGCTCCTGGAGGATGGAAAAATTAATGAACAGCACCTCGTCTGCCAACTCCAGTTCGATGACTCAAAACTATTAATATTATACCACTATAAAAACCAAAAAAAGGGACAGAAACCGAGCACAGTTATGGGTATCTGGAGTACATAAAGGAGGGTTTGGAGCATTTGGCGGAAGTGTTACCGCACCAAAAAAATACGATGAAAAAGCACTCGGCTCTGCCAACTCTTCCCTTTTCTTTTTCTTTTTTTGTTCATGCCAGCAAAAGGGAAGGACAAATGCGTTCCCATTCTTGCATTCCCACCCAACAGCGAGAGGGATAATTGCTTAATTCCATATCTTTTTCCTACACTCCTGCTACTACTAACCATTCGGCTCTGTTGCATCGTTTATGGAGGGGATCTGCGTTTTATCTCTTCCCTTCCCTTTCCTTTTTTCCCTTTCAATTGGCCTCTTTTTCAATATAAAGCATGAGCAGCTAGCATACCTCGACCTTTATTCTCCTTCTCTGTTTTCCTTCCTTGGCTTCTTTTGCTTTCTGTGCTCGAGATATTCGTCTGGCTGTAGTTTCATACCATTATACCAATCTGTTTTGTTACCTTTATACCAACCCAACCCTATCAATCAAAGCTACTTGCGTCTGTATTTACTAAATTTCTCTTGCGTCTCATCACCACTTCCCGCCGTTTTATATTTGTCAAGACTCCTGTTTCGGCCTCTATCCTCAATTAGCCCTTTCGATTCCGTACGTTCTACCGATCCTCTACCAATTCTCCACATACGCTGTAGTCAAAACCTGTTAGTTCTCTATTCGAATGATAGCCTTCCTAGCATTTTTGCCTATATATTTTGCGGTGCTTCCGATTACCTAGATAATTACAGGAGAAAATTAACCATATCAATAGCCGTTAGCCGTTGTCGTACCGGGACATCCCTGGTAATAGCTTAATTGGTAATTATTTCGCTGAGACAAGGAAAGCGGACGCTGCGCCACATCCACCACGGTGCCATATAAATGATTATGGTGGGTCGGTCAGCCGAAGTGATGAATGCTAGGTTATATTTCGTAGGCACATGTCCTTACATACCACTACTCCAGCGGACAACTGCAGAATATCAAACTGTCTTGATCCAACACTTCAAGTGGTACAAGCTTTAAGAGCGTTTGTTACCCTTCAATGGTATATTAAAACACCCTCCTGTTGCTTATATGTATGGGCTGAGAAGGGATGTCCCGCGGGAATTAATAGAATAATAACCATCATTTGTTTACCATAAGATATACCCTTGTATTCTCATATACAAGGAAAGTAACCCACGTACTGGGCAAAACGCGAACCAGGTTCGGTCCTAGACCTTTATAGAACCCAGACAAGCCTTCCGTTCGTAATATCTGTGCAAACGCATCCCGTACGCCCTTATAGGTCCCCCTGGCATCGTATGTTTGCAGGCGGGCTCGAAGAACTTGGTATGGATACGTCACGCCGCCGGCAAAGATTTTTGATGTTCCTGAAAGAAGGAGATAGTCCATATTGCTCAGGGTCTTCAGCTGCGTTGAAGGGGTATCGGTCGGTGTCGGGAGTCGATCTGAGGAAGAAGCTTGAGACATCCGTGTGCGATACCTCTTAAGCTGTTCGTAAGCCATGAATTGCAGAGCACCGTGGCACACTCCGAACATAGCTGGTATTAAACCTTGGTAGAATCCAGTGAAGCCCTCCATACGGTATATTTGTTGGAATCCAGACATCATTGACCGGTAGGCACCTGGCACATGAGCGCCTGTGGAAAGCATTCGCGTTTTGATAACCCATATTGGATTGGTGAGAATGGTTGTTAGCACTCCTGAAGGGATATATATGTTAGTGTATACGCAGGCCATAGGACCGTATGTTATCTCAACATACCAGATGTCCCAGATGCCACGAAATAATCCAACGAAGTAAGACCACCAGACCCACGAGAAACGCTTAAAAGCTCCTTAATCTCGCCGTACCATAGGAAATATAGTCCCCAACTCACGGAGTTTCCGACAAGGTTGGGTGTGAGCCCTCGATAGAATGCCTGTATTCCACCTTCATTGCGTGAAATTCCACGGATGATGCGGAGCGAGCTGCCAATCCTCGAGGAAGAAAACCGGTCCACTACAATTGAATGAGTGAAGCAATGTTAGCACTGGAGTCTTCAGTAATGGGGTTGACATTCCATACCTTGGAGCCGTGTCTTGACAATATCAAGCGGATGGACGACGAGAGTTGAGCAAACGCCGGCAGTAAATCCAGCTATCGTTTCGACCAACGACGGGGAAAGACCATTTTTGTCATTCATGAACCCTTGTAGCTGGGAGATTCTTGATATTCTTCCGGTTATCGTTGTGATAGACTGTGACAGTTCAGTGTCGTTGTCATCTTGAAGCAGAGATTGATAACCTGTTAACTAATTGAAGGGTTTTCTTTTTTTCTCTTTTGCCGAGTGGCTGAGCTCTTTTGGCCGAAGATATTTTTCGGTTGTTTATTCCAGCTTTATTACCTAAAGGTTCCCTGTTCCCTGACTGAAAAAGTTGTCAATGAGACATCGAGGATGTATTCAGATAGTTGTATGTCCCCTGGTCCTCATACACCGAGATTCTACGAACATTTGGGAACACCGGATCGTCGGATGTACACAGGAAAACCCATTCATAACCAATAGTAGTTCAAAGTACAGGTATTCGAAGGCCAGGGAATGACTGGCGCTCTATTTAATTTGGTGCCTTCGTTGATCTTGACGGGATGTGACTGGGGTGGACATTAAAATGCTGTGCACGATTGAGAAACTATAGTAATACAGTAAGAAAGGAAACAGAGGTATTCCGCAGTAGAAGAGACGGTAATCAAACCCCACAGTAGTCGTAAAAGTAGATACGGCAGAATTGCAGCATGGTTTCAGTCCGAGTAGGAAGACTGGCCGGTCAATTGAGAGGAAAAGAATCGAGTTTGCACACGGCCTCAAGCCTGTGTTGTCGAAAATGTATTATTTCCAGTCGTTCGTATAAAACACCGCCATCCTCCACATAGTCGTACGCCTTTCCATGCCGTTCCTAAAATATTCGTCGTAGAGGTTTATGCGAGAGGAGAGAGGAGTCTAATAGGCGTCGTGTAAGTTTGAGAGGTTAAAAGTAACTAGGAGCTCAATATCCTACTTGAGAAGAGCCGGTCGTGGCTCACTGTATGTGTATCCTGGTGAGACGTTAGCCATTTGATACTGTTTTAGCATTCGGATATTAGCCTGCTCGTCGCTTACCAAGGTAGACAATCAATGGAAGATATCCACTGTACAGCCATCAGACGGCAGAGATTAGCCCTCTGGATCGCAGTCTCAAAAGAACCAGCCAGTAATGACACGTTGAGGATGTCATAAGAAGCATATTTTCCACGTACTAGTGAATAGCAACCCGTGAAATATCGATGACCTTGGAGATGCGCTCCTATAACTCGTGTCAGACCATGCTAAACCAGCCGCAATGAGAGGTGTTTTACCTTTGTCTCTTCCGAAAACTGTATCATCTTGTCTTTTGATGTTATTATAATCAAACTGTGCAAAGTAAGGCTTCAGTAGGGTTGCTTGTTTTATTTGATTGAAATACAGAAATTCGTCCTTTTTCTGCGTCTCTGAAGCATCGAGAGATTTGAAAGGCCTGGAAAAAAAAAATTACTTAACTAGCTTCTTTTCTTGGCGTTCAACTTTGTTCTTTTTTCTGCCTTTGCTTGCAACCTCCAAATAATATTTGAACAACCGACACATTACTCGGCAATAGGAGGCAAGGGGAGCCGTGCAGCTGTCGCGCGTTTTATACAAACTTTCACCTTGCGTATTTGCCAATTTAAGTGGCAGTCATGTCTGGCGCAAGGCATTGGTAAGGAGTATTTTTGCTTGGGCGCGGTTTAGACAGACAGCTAACTACGAGGTGTCTTAGGGAACAAGATAAGGAGGCTACCGTGTATATTGGTAACCTCGATGAGCGGGTTACAGATAAGCTGGTATGGGAGCTGATGCTCCAGGCTGGTCGGATTGTTAACGTACACCTCCCGAAAGACCGCGTCACTCAAACACACCAGGGCTACGGCTTCGTCGAGTTTAACAGTGAAGAAGATGCAGAATATGCGTCCAGGATTATGAACCAAGTTCGTCTGTACGGGAAGCCCATTCGAGTCAATAAGGCGTCGGCCGATAAGCAGAAAGCTGTCGAAGTTGGCGCAGAGCTATTCGTTGGCAATCTGGATCCCATGGTTACAGAGCAAGTGCTATATGATACCTTTAGTCGATTTGGGTCTTTGATATCGCTCCCTAAGGTTAGTTTTTCGCTGTATAACAGATCTTCATGTAAACCTGTATTAATCATGTGGGCTCTAGGTTGCTCGAGATGATTCTAACTTGTCCAAGGGTTATGGATTCATATCGTTTTCAAACTTTGAAGCTTCAGATGACGCTATTGCCAATATGAACGGACAGTACCTTATGAACAAAGAGATATCTGTGCAATATGCCTACAAGAAAGACGGTAAGGGTGAGAGACACGGTGACCAAGCGGAGAGAATGCTTGCCGCCCAGGCCCGGAAACACAATGTCCAACCACAGCCACAACAACCAATACCGCCTCAATTCGCCGGTGGTGCGCCCACTGGTCCGGGTGGTGCTATAAATGCCGGTGTGCAGAACGTGCCTTCTGCCGTGCCGGTGGCAGCGGGGATGGATGCCGAACAACAACGACCGCCGATCAATGTTGGGCCAGTACCACCGGACTTCGGCGCAGGCAGAGGCATGCCTCCCGTTATGAACGGCGGATATCCTAATATAAACATGGCCGGTCCACTCCCACACCATCGGGCGCCGCATACACCTCACACACCTCACCCACCAACTCATCCTCCTCAGCCGCTTGTTACGCCTCCTGCCGGACTTCCTGCTCGTCCCCCGCCATCGCAAGCTGGGTATGGCGGACCTCACGCAGGCTTTCCCGCCCAGGCGCCTCGATTTGGCCAGCCTTCCCCTGCGGGTTTTGCTCCACCACCAGTAGGAGGTCCTCCCGGTCCTGGTGGTCCGCCAGGACAACTCCCGCCTGGGTTCCAGCAACAAGGTTATGGTCGTGGCCGTTGAATTTGCAAATAATTCAAGAAGCTGTAAAGGAATTATACCTCATGGGAGGAACTCTACAACCTCCGAAGCACCTTTACACACGGAAAGCGTCCCAGCTACGCCTCTTGCCTTTGAGGCTTATCTAAGGTTTAGGCTCTCCATTCGCTGTATCCAAAGCTGTGTCTGTGGGTAGAATAGAGAGAGTGTGTCAAGCCTTCTCTTTGTGGCTATACGCAAAATATTGCAAGTGAAATATATGAAGGAAGGCTATTAACACGGTATCGGCGGAAAAACAAACGAAAGAGAAATGATACAAACGATCAACGCTGGAATACAATAGACCAAAGAGATAGGTCCGGTCAGGAACAGTGAAGAGAAGTAATGGATAGCCGCTGCGTATCCATAGGACATGCAAGTGAAATCAAAGTAGGAAATTAGAACGAAATGCAAAACACCGTGCTCCTGTGCTCCGTTCCGAAGGAAATTAAAGAAATGATTATAAACGAGGGTTTAGGGAAGGCAAAGGTATTATTTCCCCGAGGGCTTGCGCAAATTATTCAACAATAGCCCGCCCGTCATGAGAATGACACAAATTTCGGATCCCGCGGTCTCCCATCGGGGCCGATATTATTCATTGCAAATCGTTGTTCAGTATATATCCGCCTTGCTTCATTGAAATCGACCTTTTTACTTCTCATTATCCGGAGAACCTCTGACTTGCCGCGCTTATCTAGGCCAGCACGCGAGTCTCCTTCCATAATGTTGTCCGCGAGGTTAAAGTCAGCAGAGGACAAGCCTGCTTCAGCATCGCCTCGGAAACTTGTAGGTAGTTTGGTATAGAGGTAGCCCGGTACGGGTAGATGAGGAAGCCAGCGTTCACGGGTAAAGTAGGCCGCTGTACAAGGTAGTATTAGCATTGAGGTCAACTCTGGCCGCTTCCAAGAGATATAAAGCAAAAGGTTGGGAGCAGACGTTAAATAGAAAGCGTCTTCATCTTACCTGCGACAGCTAAAAAGGCGAAAAAGGTGAGAGAATAGAAAAAGTAGCCCATGACGCCGATATATTAGGCAGATCAGGGATCTTGCGTCAGGCCGTGGGTAAGAAAGGCTAAGTCTGTTTTGAGGGTCCTTAGGTGGCTGCAGCAGAGCACGGTCTACTATAGAGAGGTAGACCAGTATAGAGCAGAGAAGAACGAGTGTAAGAGTGGCGCTGCCCCCTCGATATTTCTTTCACTTGCTTGATATGATTGTTGTTGTCGTTTATATCTTCTCCATCGTCTCTTTTCTTCTCTTTGACTATCAAGGTCAGCGTCTAGCCTGGAGAGATTACATAACTAAACACGTGGTTTATTATTACTAATGAATGAGTCATTCTCTAGTCTAAATCGGGCCAAGCTAGCGAGAACGTCCTGAAGAGGAAGTTTAGCCGCGTGCCAAGACCATTTTGGCTGGGCGGTTAGAAAAAACACACAAGAAAAATTAGTCGCAAATTGAGAGCAGAAGAAAGGGAAGAAAGGGATATCAAGTTCAGGCAAACAACCAACAACCAAACCCTCCGTCTCCCTTCACCAAACCTCCTGTTTCTTCTTCCCTAGACGCCATGGCCACCTCCGCCCGTCCTAACGTGTCTGACGACTTGGTCTGGGCCATTGCCAGTACGAATTCCTACCCCCGTCTCTTATCTAGACTTTGAATTTGCTGCAATAGGCAAATGTGTTGCGACTGAAGACGCGCCCAGTTATACGTACGGGTGAAGCTGATAAGAGTGGTTTTATTTTTCGAATAATTAGGAACCCAGAACGCTTTCCTGGTCAAGCGGAAATGTGCTGGTGGTGTTCAGTTCTCCCGTGACCCATTGAACTTGGTCAACAAGCACTCCAGAAAGGTTGGTTATTCTCTAGAAGGTGTGCATATATGGATATAATCAGAATGGCTATGCTGACAGGCTGTTTCTGCTATAGTTTGCTGGTTTTGTCAACTCCAAGGTATTTCGCCCACTCACATCCTAGTGATATTATTTCTTTGCGCCACAGAAGGAATGAAACCAAGAAATTTAAGACGGAGGAGGAAAAGGAGGGATTTAGGAAGGGCCCTGCAACGCAGAACAAACATCGATGGATTGATTACAATCTTCTGACGGGGAATTTTGCTGGTTATATTAGGCTATCGGTGTCCAAGGTGCTGAGAACGGTGGTGTCACCGTCATCTCCAAGAGACCAAACAACTACAACAAGCCAGGTTCCAACACCTACACTGCCACCCACGGCTCTGGCTCCTCCAACCGCAAGTAAGGATAAGCCCCGAAATTCTGCATCAGCTGCCTATCTTCTATACTCTATGGAGGTAGTTCAAGAGAGAGAAGGTAGAGTCTACTTTTACGGAGCATCCTGCTAAATATATATGTTTCTGTCTAGGGTATACAAGGCTGTTGCCAGCCGAGCTGTAAGCGGTGGATACCGAGCCGACCTCCGCGCTGAGGCCGTTTCCCGTGCCAGTGCTATCCGACTATCCCAACGACCAAAAAAGGACAGCCCTGAGAAGAAGCTTAGAGGTGCCAAGGCCCGAAAGGCCGCTGCTGAAAAGGATGCTTAGATGTGTTGGTGAAAGTTGGGAGATGAGGGAAGCTGGAAGTGTGTTGCTGCGAACTCTGGAGATATCGTTTTACAACTGTCTCCCAGCCGGCCCTAGCTATACTTCCATAGTCAGGGGCATGACATAATTAAGTCAAAAAATAAATACGAATCATGGCTGCGTATTGATACCATATGATGAGAGTTCTTTTCCACTTTACACCCTGTTTGTATTCATGACCTTGTGGAATTGCAATATGTCATGACTTTTTCTATAATTATCTTTGGATTATCTGCAGGCTTAACTCGAAGTCAACACTGCCCAATGATGACGTCTATATTTACTCCTGGCCTCGCCGCTCGCACACTAAACACTATCGGACGGTTTCCGTGAGAGCAGGGTCAGGTTAAAGCTACTCTCGTCGCTCGCTGAACCCCCACTGTACCTTCGAGAAGCCTAGTCATGCATGGTAAAGTGGCGTACTCCATAGAATCGCCCTCGCCCTGCCTCCGTCAAAGAGGGATCGGAAAAATCCGTAACGATTCGTTCCGTGTCGGGGTGGATTGACGACCGTCTGCTTATGCCTCGGTAGAGTTCCTGAAAGACGAATGAAGGCACCTCAGTCATCGCAAGACGGTTAACAATATGGTATTATCTATCTTTCTCGATAAACAGCTCTCTAGAGACGTGGCTAGAGGGCAATACGGTGTGCTAGTCGATGGGGGAGAGGTCGACTATGCGGACAATTGCTTTTTTCTATGGCTTCGATTCAAGCTTTCCCGCGCCGCGTTCCTGGAGCTCGAGAGTGGGGCCTAGCATGCATCCAACGTCGAGCCCATCGACGATGATGACGATGATATTCAAAGAAGCTGGAGAGTGTCCGACTTCTTTCTGGCGGAGGGACTGGCGCCGCTGCCCGAGAAGCCGTCTTCTTGACTAGATATCGCTACAGCTGCCAGAGAAAGGCATCCCAACCCGCCAAGCTGGATGTACAGCAACTGAACCTGAGGGACGAAACCTGGCTTCACGTGATGGCGATTGGGTAGGTGTGCAGAGCTCCTTGCAAGCCGCCCATGGCTTCGCGCAGCTGAGCAGCAGAGGCGTCGGGTGAGCAGAAGGCAGCGTCCCGGCAGACGGAGCAAGGCATCTGCAAAGGTAGGCAGGGCAGTGGAAGAAGAAGCAAAAAAGCTGGAAGTTGAAGCTGGAGAAGGAAACGAGATAAAGAAACTCCATTATCGGCTGAGTCAGCTGCATGTGACTTTAGCCGCGGGCTGATAAACTCCGCAAAAGGAAACTTGAGACCTTTTCTCTTCTTCTTCTTCTTCTTCTCCTCCAACTTCAACTTCAACTCCAACTCCAGCTTCATTCTCTTCTTCAACTTCAAACTCTCCAGCTCCACGACTAGCTTCATCTCGTGAGTGTGTGTTGGGCCTAACTGCCTGCCTTTCTACATGCTAATTGTTCTTTGCAGCTTGCTCGTCATAGTTCCCCGCTTCCGTCCAAGCAACCATGGTTAAAGCAGGTGAGATTCCAGTTCCTGACCCAATGCTTCAGAGAGTATAACCATGTCATTAAAGGTGTTTCTAACCATGTATTTTATGCTGAATAGCTGTTCTCGGTGCTTCTGGCGGCATTGGCCAGGTTGGTAGTCCCGCTGGATGGGAGGCTCCTGTTTGCCTTGGAGTGGGGGCGAGTGCGCTGACCAGGTGAACCCTCGGGATATACAGCCTCTATCTCTTCTGTTGAAGATCTGTCCTCTCGTCGACGAGCTTGTTCTTTATGATGTCGTTAACAGTCCCGGTGTTACTGCCGATCTCTCTCACATCTCTACTGCCGCCGTAAGTTGCCTCCTGGTATGAATTAGTGGCATCTATGGCTTCTCTAGACTAACTTGCGTCGTTATAAGAAAACCTCCGGCTACTTGCCAAAGGATGAAGGTCTGAAAAATGCCCTCACAGGCTGTGAACTCGTCCTCATTCCAGCTGGAATTCCTCGTACGTAATCCCAAACATCCTGACACTCTCCCTCCCCCCCCCCCCCCCTTTTTTGCGTTTGTTTCGTCTTGCATTTGTTGCTAATAATCTGGCAAAAGGCAAGCCTGGAATGACCCGTGATGACCTCTTCACCGTCAATGCTGGCATTGTGAGAGACCTCGTCCATGGAGTTGCTGAGTTCTGCCCCAAGGCGTTTGTCCTCATTATCTCCAACCCAGTCAACTCTACCGTCCCGATTGCTGCTGAGGTGCTCAAGAAGGCTGGCGTCTTCGATGCCAAGCGTCTTTTCGGTGTCACTACCCTTGACATCCTCCGCGCAGAAACCTTCGCCCAGAAATACACTGGGGAGAAGAACCCATCTGATGCTACCATCCACGTTATTGGAGGACACTCTGGCGAGACTATTGTCCCAGTTTACAGCTTAGCTAAGCCAGTTGCTGATATCCCAGAGAGCGAGTACGCCGAGATCATTAAACGTGAGTACACAAATGGCACTCACTTTCCTTCTCTAGTTGCCTATATTTCAGCGTTAACGCGGGTTCATCACGGCAGGTGTCCAGTTTGGTGGTGACGAGGTTGTTAAGGCCAAAGACAGTGCTGGCTCTGCCACCTTGTCTATGGCTTATGCTGGTTACCGGTAAAGCCCATTCCCTTCTTTTTCGCTTCCAGGCACCATTATAGATTCAAGCCGACTGACACGGTAATTGCAGCTTTGCTTTGAGCGTCATGAAGGCTGCCAAGGGTGAGAAGGGTATTGTTGAGCCTACTTTTGTTCACCTTAGCGGCATCAACGGCGGCGATGTCGTCGCTAAGGAGACCGGTCTTGAGTATTTCTCCATGCCAGTTGAACTCGGAGTGCGTATATCCATGCTTGGAATCCCTTTAAAGCTCTTTCCAGCGCTATAGCTAACAATCTGATACAGCCATCTGGTGCTGAGAACATCGTCAACATCCTTCCCAACGTCAACGAGAGGGAGAAGGCCCTCCTTGAGGTCTGCAAGTCCGGCCTCCAAGGCAACATTGCTAAGGGAATCAGCTTTGTTCAGAACCCTCCACAAAAGTAAAAACACCCACCTCACTTCCAGCTGCCCCCGAAGCGTCTGCCTTCCATCCTCTGGTGTCGTGTTTATCGGATCATCCTTGGTCGCCTGTTGCTTCTTCCCATCAATCCGTTTTATAGTGGCCTTCACGGGTTGCATTTTTCATTCGATCACGGCTCAACCTAATGGCGAATTATTACTAACCAAACATCCTGTTTCTGAGCATATAGGCTGTAGGTCAGGAGAATACATACATAAGCTCTGAATGGTTGAAGAAGCACTGGTTTTCTTTTCATTCATTCTCAAGAACGATGGCAAGGACGCGTTCGCTGCTAGGAGATTGCAAAAATTAGTTTGCCCATCCATACCTCCCATTCTTTTATGTTATTATATCCCTTCTCCCTAGCCAGAACAGAAAAATGTTACCGTCACATTTCTCCTGAGTTTGAGGAACGAACAGTTTTTAGATGAGAACAAACAAATGAATAAAAATAGGGTTACACCTTCTAGCATTCCCCTACTTCATCTGTCTGTAACTCTCTGCCATTCGAGGTGAATGAGACTAATTTTCAGGTCAAAAGGAGAACACCAAGGAAAAATAGTATATTGTAGGGGTATCTGTACAGCATAGAGAAGATAACGAAACAAATACACGAGAGATACGCCTTGCCTGGTAGGTATATAAGCAAATGCATTTACTAGCATAAACCCGTCAAGTTACTACCGGTGTACCAGAGCCACCAGCATTGGCAGTAACTGTGCTATTGATAGTCTTGATCTGAAAGGTAGCTAGCGGGAGATCTGAGCTTTCAGCCTGGACCGTAGCCTCAATCCCCACGCTTGCAAGGGTGCCGCGGATTATACCGCAAGGGAACCAAAGATACTTCAGTCGACGTTAGCTTGCATCAATTAACGAAAGGGTAAAACGGGGGCTTTTAAGTGAGGTATCCCGTACTGTCTGTGCACGCATAACTGCCTCACTTCTAACAGACATGCTCATGCGGATAAATGGCCGGAAAGCATTATCGGTTAAAACATATACTCCCTGTGTCAATTCCGGTTAGCTAAGGGACAATTGATATAGGTATGGTATGCCTTAGATATGAAAACACACCCTATGATTTGTCTTCAGGTTATCCACCTGTTTCCTGAACAAAATTGTCCAAAGATCTTTACATAAAAATTTAATCACATCGAGATTATCAGCAAACCGGGGTCTATCCCTGGAGAATCTGTAAAGAAAAGTGGTATACGTCAGCCTCTTCCTGTGCTCTCATATGGGTATACCGGTAGCGGTTGTGATAAGGATTACCTTTCTCCCAACCCCAGACCGACTCTATATCCCAATGACTCTAGTCTAAAATATATAGACTCGCGATACTCTTCGTCATCCATAACGGCCACAGATGACTTGCTGTCCTTCTCTTTTTCTTTCTCTCTTTCCTTATTTTTTATATCTAGTGCCTCGCCTTGCTTGACTGGGGAGTCCTTTTCTCCGAGCTCGAGTTCTTGTACTATTCGTTCCGCCATAGGTACAAGTTCGATTAATAGTAGATCCAGGCATGATGCGTTTAGGAAACGGGCGTGAGGGTCGGAAGCGCTGAAGGGGGGTGTAGGTGTGTCGAAGGGCATTGCTGCGGTTCGCCTTAGCTTGTGGGTAGGTGGTAACGGGGTCTGATTCCGTCGGCCCTTGCGGATGGAGTCGATCGAAGGGTAAGCTTGACTATAAGATATTAAAATTGAATAGATTTATGTGATAGTTTCGATTGATCTTTGTCTTTCCTGGCCGTTGTTGGTGTTGCTCAAGCTCGACTAACTTACAACTATGTATTACGTAATCACCATCTCTCTCTCGACCTTCTTGGAAGAATTCAACGTTCAGCAATACAACTGTGCGTGTCCACCTATTCTATTATCTAGTTATTGGTAGAGGATTGTTGGCTGTGAGACGCTTCCCGGCGCTGGAGGGTCACTGTTGCCTAATCAAGGGTCAGTCTTCGGCTTTTGAGATACTTTAAGTGCCAAACAAAGTACTCGAAACACGTCGTCCTACTTGCATAACTAACCAAAATATCACTAGCACTTGAATAGCTCAGCTTCAGATAAGACGATATGCATTGAAGTACCTAGCTACACATGTCTGGATACCATTATGTGCGGATATGCAGCCGCAAGCTATGGGACTGAAACATGTCACTGCAGATGATGGCAGCAGATTGTCTTCAAGAGCTTCGGCTCAGCTCATTATATAGGCCCTGCCTTTGAACCACGCCCTCCTGACATCCTTTCACATGGCAAAAGCCCATACGTCTACGGAGTACTAGCTTCGGTCCTACAATGCGCCCTAGGTAGGTTGAAGTATGGAGTATGAAACAGCACAATCATGTATCATTTTCATGAGTAGTAGGCAGCATGTGGCTGGTAATGGCACTGATTAGAGGCACGGACGATCTACGCAGGCAGACCTCAGCGGCCCTTGGAGGCTATTCCTTCTATACTGGCTACTAACTAATAATGAGTTACTCCTTAAAAATCGCCCGTCAGAAGTGAGCCACCGTGGCTCGCCCCAGAAAATAGGATTTATAAGTGGGTTAATCCCAACCCCGTAAACCACTAGGAAGGCCTCAAAATGGACCTAGAACGCACACATAAGCAACGGTAATCCGGGATTGGTGGAGCGGCAGGCTGGGGCGTACATTTTATTTCAATGGATGAAGTCTCGTATATCTGCAAACCCCTTGGCTCTGGAGAATCTTTGGATCAGCATATATCGTTCAAAGGGGCCTCAGGAGAGCCTTGCACGGCCCGGATTCGACTGATGAGATGAGAATTCTATAAGCACAACCTCAGGCCTGCGACAGGGCCGCTTTGTCGACATCACTGACTACCATGCCGGTCTCGCATTCTTTCCACCGACGGCTGCTGCTTCTCACCAGCGGCGCATTCGTCCTGCTATTCATATATTACTTTGGTACCGTATACCGACACAGGCTGGGTGTTGTACCTAAACATGGCGGTACTGTGCATGAAGAACCTGAGGAGATCGAAGAGATTTGCATGGGCAATGATCCAATAAAGGCATTGTTGGACAAGGCGGACAATGCATGGCGCAAGTACGACTCTGCCCGGTCGCTGACCTTCAGGGACGCTGTTGTCGAGTATCGGGTGCGGTATGGTCGCCATCCGCCGCCTGGATTTAAGGAGGTGAGTCTCGCTTTGTATAACTATGCGTTTCACTGTCTTTGTACTTTGCGCGGGCTTCATGCCACTGCCGATTCTCCTCTTCGGCCCCCTACACTAGACCCCTTCGGGGGAAAAAAGAGCATATAACTGATTTACGGACTATACGCAGTGGTATATGTTTGCCCGGGAGAACGATGTCCGAAATGTGGACGACTTCGATCAGATAAACGACGACCTCCGGCCATTCTGGTCAGCAGAGCCAAAAACCATCCGGCGGAGAGTAGCTGCAGCTTGCCAGGATCACAGCGGAAACTCGATCGCGGCGATCCACATAAGGGACGGGACTATTGCGAACATCACTGGCGATGGATGGCGGATAGATACTCTGAAGTCGCTAGTTGCACGGTTTGCGCAGAAATTACCGGACATGGACATTGTCATGAATACGCTGGACCAACCTCGACTTGTAACTAAGTGGGAGGACATGCAGGCCATGCTCAGCAAGGAGATAGCGTCCCGTGCTACTCCTCCTGATGCCACCGATTCGTTTACAAAGAATATGGAAGGATTTTTCTCGCTGACGGGCATAAACAACGTGACAGAGGAGGACAAGGTCAAATGGGCCGGGATCCCTTCCAAACAGTACATGGAGATTGCGGCGACTGCCTGCCCTCCTGAATCTCCAGCTCGGAATCCAATCCTGAGTATTCAAGAGGCTGATGGCCGTTACAAAATACCCGGTGCTGGCCTTGTGTCGAATTTCAACACGTCCAGTGATCTATGCGTTGTCGGGCCAGCCATAAAAGACCTCCATGGATTCCTATTTTCATCGTCGAGTATCAGTCACTCAGATGCTCTTATACCGATATTTAGCGAATGTAAGGTGAACGTCAATAATGATATCCTCTTCCCGGCAAATATGTACTGGAAGGATGATGAACGATATACCTACAATGGCGTTGAAGACATTGACTGGAAGATGAAAAACGAGACACTCTTCTGGAGGGGAGCTACCTCTGGCGGTATCCAAACTGCTGATAATTGGTCTCGAATGCATCGTCAACGGCTGGAGTTCAAGATGAATGGGACAAAACTCATCGGCAAAACAGAGCGAGTCTTGCCATGCAACGACCAATCCTTGAGCTCTGGTGATTCCGCGTCGTCGAATTTCCAACCAACTGATTTCGCCAACGAGCATTTTGATTTCGGCTTCACGGACCCCATGGCTTGTATGCCAGCCAATTGCGAATTCTACAATGACACCTACACGTACAAGGAGAAGATACCACTTTCGCATCAGTTCGTGAACAAATACCTGGTGGATATAGACGGACACAGTTTCTCTGGCCGATGGCGAGCGTTCCTCCTTAGCAAGTCCCTAGGTATAAAAGCCACCATATTCCGTGAATGGCACGACTCGCGCCTCTTTGCATGGAGACATTTCGTGCCCTTAGACAACCGATACGATGACTTCTATGCCCTTATGACTTATTTCATCGGGACAGGGACGAATAATACTACCTCTAGCAACCCCCATGTTGCTCGTCATGATAAAACTGCACAGACTTTGGCCAGGCAAGGTCGTGAATGGGCTGAGAAAGTTCTCCGGAATGAAGATATTGAAGCATATATGTACCGGCTTCTTCTTGAATATGGCCGAGTCATCGATGACAATCGGAACTCCATTGGCTACCATGGTGATGGCAGCGAACTAAAAGAATTTGACGAGCATTTGACGCGGTGATAATTTTAATGAACGGCGATTTGGTTCATGGAATATATTGTGTTTGTTTATACGGAGGACATGTGTGCGGCTTCGGTTTTTGCTCGTTTGTGCGGTACATGCTTTAAAACTTGGGCAGCCATGTACTATATTTCATTTGGGAAATAGGGAATCAATCATTTAGAACTTGGTTATCTATCTTATGCCATTTAATACAAATAATAGTCACTTCTTTCCTCAGTCTAGCTATCAGCGTTCCCTTTGCTCCAGCTGTGTAGACCAATTGTGCCGTAGAAAATTGTTCGTATTCAATGACGCTGATAGATGCCGTGGTAGTCTTTAAACCTATTGACAAGCAGTCCACCCTAGTTCCTATCCTGATGAAGACAAAGATGGAAGTACTGTAAAAAGAAAGAAAGAAAGAAAGAAAGAAAGAGGGGAAAAATACGTCGAAAAACTCCACGCCTCCGTTATGCCCCGTTTGTCCGTTTCCCATCCTCGGCCCATAAATGATGACGATTGGTATAAACCCGCAGAATAAATGAGAATAGGCAAACTCCTCAAATGATCTAATAGGAAAAAGGGAAAAAAGGGGGTCAGAAATAACTATGAGAGAAAACAAGCAAGCTGCTTCCTGAAGATGCGGAAACGACTTTTATCTGTGGCCAAAAAAAAAAAAAAAAAAAAAAAAATATTGAGCCCCTGGAGGTTCTCTATCTGTCGTAATGATATGAACCTGGAACAGGCGAATTCGAAGCGGAGAGCCTAAGCGGGTCGAAAGGTTGCTGATGAGTTCCATTTGGTAAGTGGAATGCGAGCCGTTTAGCGGGACGAGGGGGCTCCTCGTCATCACTGCCAGTCAAATCAATGACTTGACTAATGGCCCTTTTACCGGTTGAGGGTCGAGGAGCTGATGCAACCGAGGAGGCTTCCCTGGATGGAGTGGGAGTTGTGTGATTTATATAGGACTGGGAGTCAAATTCCCTCTTGACAGTTGGCACGCCACAGCTGTCTACCTCTACTAGGTCAAGGTCATCATTGTCCCCATTTTCAACACCATTACCATCCGGTGCGGCTTCAGGGACATCATTCGGGTTTGACCACTCCCCGTTCTGCTCAATTGTCACTTGATCAACTGACTGCGGCGTTGCACGTAGTATGTTGTCAACATACCTAGGACATGTTAGTTGCTAGATGCTGAAATGCTCAGGGTTGTTGAAGACTTACTGGTCTACCTGTAAAGCTTCAAAGCTGGTTGCTTTATAGCAGATAGGACAACTCCACGTTGGCGCCTGTTCCTGCAGTTGAAGGAAAGATGTTGCATCGAAACACTGGTTATGTGTGCAAAGTGAGGTGCGACATGGAACCGAAATCCGGAGAGTTGAGAGCGGACATTTTAGTGACATTACGGCTGACGTTGTCACAATATCCGCATCCTGGGCATTGGTCTGTACTATAAACCGTTGTAAGATTTTGGCCGCAAAGTTTGAGAGGTAAACAAACCACTTGGGTAAAACTTACTCTCCCTGACCACTTGCTCAGCAGAGATTGTTTTTCTGACCTGGAGCTGGGTAACCAATTCTTCCACAGGATGCTTTTGCACGAGGTTAACGACAATGAAGAATTTCTTGTGTTTATGTTAGCTATTTGACTGCGATTTGCATGGGAAGAGTAGGGAACAACCTTCTGGGTCAGAGCGTATGTCATCGTCACAGTGTTCACATAGCCTACTTTCTTCCGGATGAAGTTCGTTATATCAGCGGGTCTGGTTGTACCTGGCTTGTTTTTTAGACCGCGTAGGTTTGCCTTGACATCGTCATGATTGACTTTGAGTTCCACTTGATGTGGAAAAGCAATATCACTCGGAGAATAATGCGTAAGGCCATTATCTGCAGCGCCATAAACCATGATCCGGAGGTTTGGATCCGACAAAAGCCGTGAGGCAGTTTCAGAGGTGAGAATCACTCTCAAGCAAACTGTATCTCGAGAGGAATCTCGAGCTTTAGGATTAAGTCAGACATTGGTTGTCTTAAGCTGTAGCGTATAGTTTTACGGGCATTGTGTTGTCGTATCGTACCTTGACATTCCATAACCGAAGTCAAAGGTTCTAGAATGGTATAAAACGGGCTGTTCTTGAAGGTCAAGCGGCCTATATAACTCCATCAGCCAGGAAAAGAGGGCCTTGTTATAAAGGGGTCGACATCGACGTACCCATAGGACTTGGAGGAGGAAGGGGGACTGTTGTCCGGTATGGTGGTAATGCATGCGAAGACTGCGGCTGGGGAGCCGGAGGGTAATGCGGTGATAATGGAGTCAAGGGTGGAGGTGACGGCTGACCCCGAGCGACTGCGTAGATCCGTGCAATGAGACTATTCAGCCGGTCCTGGTTCGCCCACTCGCCGTACGCATAGTAGTTGAGGCCTGTAGCGAGGAATATGCGTTACTAAACGAAACGTATCATGTATATATTTGGTAGTTATCGGGAGGACTTACGGCCTATAAGCCTCGCCTGGAGTGTTAGCTTGACCCCCGAGACCGGTAGGCCCTCGCTCTTGAGGATCGCCTTCAACTGGGTGATGATAAGCTTATACAGCGTCTCCCTGACACGCTCGACCTCTGGGTTCAGCGCCGGAGGCGCCATCTTGGCCGCTCACTGGTGGTTCTCGAGGCTCTCTGGTCTCCTGGCCTGAACGACGGGCTGTGGGTGAGGTGTTCGGGGTTCTCGAGGGGCGACTGGTCAAGCCTGGAGCAGTTCTACCATGGTATATGTTATGTCAGCTCCGGCGACTGTTTGTGCGCTCGCTCCAGTCCTCCGTTCGAGGGTCACCGTCGCAGCGTCTGGGTGTTTCTTTCTGCTGCCTCTGTTCTCGCCCACGATCGGATCTAAAAAAGAAAGCTGCGGATAGGACGATGACTTAGTAAGCTTGCCCATGATGATGTAAGCAAGGTCGAGTTTTTTTTTTTTTTTTTTTTAGTGGTGAAAGCAGAAACAAAGCAAAGGCAGCGAGGTTGATATTTTTAATAGACCAGCTGGAATACTCTTTTACTGTACATTTGAGCTCGGATTAACTACACCTGAGGAGCCATGGCGAAGGGACTCAGATCGAGTGTCAAGAAGCACAACAAGGCCCTGTTGCGCGAGAAAGTCTTTGGGCCGGTAGCAGATGCGAGAACAGAGCGCCTCTCTGCTAAGCTGCAAGAGCTCGCAGGAACCTCCAAGAAGGATGCGGATATGACAGATGCAGACCCGAGTAATGCAGGTGTGTAGCTCTGAGATGGATGCTGCCAGAGGCTATATCGTCGATACTAATAGACTCGTCTCTTAGATGCTACCGCAGAGAAGTCCAAAACTGATATAGTGAAAGGTAACGACTGCCCGAGTCAACATCGTACATACTCTTCACTTTTCTTTCACTTTTACCTCAGTCTCTGTGGCCATCAGGCTACATTTGTAACCTGCTCTAATACTATATAACTACGATAGATGACGAGCCCACCCCTCTCAAGATCGAGGGCGGAATTTCTCGCAAGACCGGCCGAGTGGAAAAGCGCACACGCAGAAAACCGCGTAACACCATAACGTTTGCTCCTCACCCGGGGAAATTGAAGAGACTCAATGGGAACAAGAAGCGATGATGTTTATGATCTTTCGGCTGGACGTTTGTCTGCCTGGTTTCCGTTTAGACTGCGAGCGGAGTCTATTTTCAGTATTGCATCTCGACATGAAAAAGCGGATTAGGAGTTAAGCGGAGTTCCAACAGTTATTGATATGGGTTTTTCTTTTGGTCTTTTCTTCTGTAACTAACGACTATATAAGACGAACGATATCAGAAGTTGGCATCCATCCTATGCTATATAGACTCTACGGCTGCCAACTTGACCTTCTAAAACAACCCAATCTTTCCAATCTGTTAGCCAACGTAGAACCCGCCATCTCCTTTAGTCAATTGATCCATGGCGCAGAAATACTTTAGTTTTAGTTAGCTGCTTCAACAATCGCTAATCAGAGCTGCGGGCGCAGGCACGAACGGCCTTTTTTTTCTTTTTTTCCTGAGTTAGTTAACTTATCTTATCGCAGCGCCAGCAGCAAGACCTTGAGGGAAGACGAAGGCATCAAAGGAGTAAACACATCTACCACGGCGAAGATGATGGAGACGATATAGACCGCGAGTAGGAGACGACAACGGAGGAGTTATGGTTCTTAGTTAATGACACTCGTTTAGACAGCCTCTCTTTCAAGGATGCGCTTTATCACTTCCAACGCGGCCACGCTGGTCTCCTTTATTCTCTTTCCCCTGGCACTGGTCCTCTTCGCCAGCGGCTTCTTCCCGTACAAGCCATTCATACCAGGGCTGGCAACATTTGATGAAAGTGAATATGGCAGTCGGCCATCCCCCGTCTTTGACCGGGTCATCTTCATGGTGGTAGATGCATTGCGAAGGTGGGTTAATCCTCTTGTTGTCCCATCCATATATCCCGCGCAAGCTAACCCCCATGTACAGCGATTTTGTGTATGGAAACCACTCTGGATTCCAATTCACCCAAAAGTCAGTAAAGATGGATATTCTACGCCCTAATAGGGCATTATCAAACCAGGCCATTCTAATTTGTGGGTAGATTGATCAAGTCTGGTGCAGCAGTGCCATTCACCGCTCATGCAAGCTCGCCAACTATCACCATGCCGCGGGTAAAGGCAATTACAACAGGATCTGTCCCATCGTTTGTTGATGTGATCCTTAACTTTGCAGAGTCAGATACCACCTCGACTCTCGCTCACCAGGATACCTGGTTAGCCCAGCTGAAAGCTAAGCCGGGCGGTCGACTGGTCATGTACGGCGACGACACATGGCTGAAGCTGTTTCCTGACATGTTCTACAGACATGATGGGACTACAAGCTTCTTTGTCTCTGTATGAATATCCAATCTTCCTTCTTGTTGGAACAATATCAACTGACCCTGGACAAAGGATTTTACTGAAGTCGACAACAATGTCACCAGGCATATACCCGAGGAAATGGGTAATGCTGACTGGAATGCCATGATAATGCATTATCTCGGCCTCGATCATATTGGCCACAAAGCTGGCCCTAGAAGGTGAGTGCATGAATATGGACTAAATATTTATCACAGAAAGGGATCTAACGCTGTGGCAGCCCCCATATGATACCAAAGCAGAAAGAGATGGATTTCATAGTCAAACAAATATACAGTTCCATGGAAAAGGAAGCCCATTTATCTTCCGCACTTCTTGTTCTATGCGGTGACCATGGTATGAACGACGGTGGTAATCATGGCGGTGCATCGGCAGGAGAGACCTCCCCGGCTCTTACCTTCATATCCCCTAAATTTCAAGACATGGGACTTGTAAAGGCGCCCCTCAAGTCTTCATCCGGGGAATTTGATTTTTACGACATAATAGACCAATCGGATATAGCTCCTACCCTGGGTGGTCTGCTCGGCTTTCCAGTTCCCCTGAACAACCTCGGAGTTTTCATCCCCCAGTTTCTCCCGTTATGGAAAAAAGGTTCGATTCTCAAATTATTTCGTCTTTGTCCATCGTACTCAGAAATCAAGGCTAATACGACGTCATAGGCGAGGAACGCCTACAACTTCTCCTAGAAAATGCTCAACAGATCATAAAAATCGTCAAGCAAACGTATCCAGGCTACAAGTTCGACTCTACTACTGCCCAGTTGAGCCATTGTGACGGCAGCCCAAACTCCGAGATAGCAGAACTAGAATGCAAATGGCAGAGGGCACAGCAAATGATTTCTCAGGCTGTTGAAGATACCACTCTCTTCCCAGCCATAGAGCAATCCCTTATAGACTTCCTACGTACTGCACAAATCATGATGTCTAGCACGGCAAGCAATTACAACCTGCCAAGACTATATGAAGGCATCGCATTCTCGGGGATCGCCTTTATGCTGTCTCTCTATGCATGCATGCAAAAGGGCCGTAATGGGACTGCAGCTGTGGGATACATGTTCCTAGTCCTTCTCGGATACGGAGCCCTAATGTTTGCAAGTAGCTACGTTGAGGAAGAGCAGCATTTTTGGTACTGGATGGCTTCAGGCTGGATATTCTACCTCTACTGGAAATCGTACGTTAAATCTGGCCTTTCCCAATATTATTGTGTTCAATACTAATCGCTTGTTCCGCAAGCTCCAACAACCACAAAGTCAAGTCGGGCTATGTTAGCGCATTTGTCATTGCCACGTTGACACGAATTATGAGACGTTGGAACCAGACCGGTCAAAAGCTTGCGGGAGAACCAGATATTGCCAACACTTTCTTCAGGGAACATCCAAACGTGATGTGGCTACTGATTCTCTTCACATATACCGACCTCTATCAAAGGCTACTGCCAAACACGTCTATAGTGGATCCGACAAATAAGCTATTGTCGCTACTATATCTCCCTTTGACTAGTTTCTCGTTCATATTCAAGGTGGTATTCACAGATGCCGATGCACCGGAGCTTATACGGAATATCCCTTTCCTCCCATTCTTGATCAGAGGTGTACGAGGACTGTCCCTTGTTTTCCAGGCCCGGGTTGTTCTTATAGGAGTCTTGATATGCTCCATGTATGCGATATACTTGAGGGCTACCAGAAACAGCAATCGAAATGGTGCAAGGAGAGGTAAATCAAACCCATAAATGTTCCTGTCTGGGATAAAAATATCCGTACTAACATTTATTAACCAGACATTCGAGGAACCTTTCATACTTTGCTCAGTTTATTCCTCATCACTCAATCTCGAGCAACCAATATACCTATGTTTGCCCTCTTCCGTATCCAGCAACAGGTCCTCAGCTCCATGTCACTGTCTACTACAGAAATCACTGTCACATCCCTCCTGTTTCAGTACGCAAGCTTTTTCGCTCTCGGCGGCTCTAATGCTATCTCCTCGGTCGACTTGTCTAATGCCTACAACGGCGTGAGTGGGTATAACGTTGGCGTAGTAGGCATACTGACGTTTGTCAGTAACTGGGCTGGCCCTATCTGGTGGGTATCTGCTACTCACCACTTGTTGAGCATTACTCGCTCTGCACGGCGGAACCAGCCAAACAAGCATATCCAGCTCCTGACCTTGTTCGTTTCTACGAGCCTGTTAGCTGTAATGGTAGCTTGTACTGCCCTTCGAACACATCTGTTTATCTGGACTGTGTTTTCCCCCAAGTTTCTTTACAGCATGGCATGGACACTGGCTCAACATATTATCATTAATATTCTATTCGGAGAGCATTTGCTGCGATGGTTATACAATTAGACGTTTTCCCCTTTCGATGTGAGAATTGCTTCCTAGGTTTACTTTTCAGAGATATAATATTCTTTATGAGAATTTTCTTTGCATATTACAAGCCAGCAAATATATCGTCTATCACATTGACTTTCCGTTTCTTCTTCTTCTTTTTCTCCTTAGAGCTGTCGGCCTCGCCCAAGCTGGCAGTCATGGAGGTATCATAGTCAACTTTTCGTTTCATGCTCTTATCAAAGCATGACTTCCTCTTTTTCTTCGTTACGGCTTCACCGTCTGTAGACACAACCGTGTCGACTGTCGTTCTGACATGAGAGTCAACCTCAGACCGTCTGATCACCTCACCAAAATCTTCATCCACAGTAACGTTACTGGCCGACCTGGGAATGGTCTCCGGACCCTTCTCGTCTCCAAGCTCAGAAGCAATATTCGACAGCTCGCCCTTATTAATCTGGACGACGTTGAATACCTCAGCAAGCGTAGCTAGCAGAGCAATCCCTAAGGAACAAAACTGTACGTCTGCAACCACAGTAGAAAACGCCCTGCCCAGAGAAGTCAGTCATGAATCAACATTCAAGATGGATGCTGCTCCTGAATTCGACTAACCTATAACACCGTGGAATGAGCTCATCGTGAAGATACCTCATTATCTTCCACACTGGAGCAAAAGGGTGCTCGTCACTGCCATCTGCGCCCAGGACATCCTCGAACTTCTCAATTTTTTCGATTTCACACGCAAGATTCAACGTCCATCGCCTCAGCATATTCAGCCATTTCCACCATTTCGTGCAGCGATGCTGATTCTTGTTGTGGTGGTAGAGCAGATGCAGTGTTCGGTGGATTGATCGGATGTCACTAGAGGCTGTAAATGGCAATGGTTCAGTCAATTGAGCAGACATTTACGCCGGATAGCTGACTTCGTCTTCCTCCTCCTTCCTTTAGTCTCCTCCCATCTCGTCCACCAGCTCTGGCTCGCGGTCGTTTTGAAAGTCAAGTCTTGATAAATTAAAAGGTCTTGAGGATATCAAATTCCGAGAAAAAGCAACAAAATCTTCTAAACGGCTTAGTCAGCTCCACTCTTTATTTATGTTTTATCGAAATTCGCTTGCAACCTCCTTCAAATACGAGAAGTCAAATAGGCGAACTCTCGCCCAACAAGCAGACGAAGGAAAGCTGAAGGATTGAGGCTCAAATGTAGCCTTCCAATTACAGATTGATAAAGCATACCCTGGAGGAGTTTCACCCATGTCGAAATATTGGCGGACGGAGCCCGTAAAGGGGCAACCGCCGACGTTGGTGCCTGGAACTGTGCCCTGAGACATCCCCTCCGCTACATGGATTTGACACCTATAAAAGGAACTCTCCCTTCGGATGAGTTCCTCTTCCTCCTTTTCCCCTTTCATTTGTTCAAGGACGTCTCCTTGAATATTATGCACTGTTAAAGGACCGCTAGAAGAAACCATCTATACCAATGGGTTTTACTACTGCGGGCGGCAAACGGGGCCTGGCCTCTAAACGTTCAGCGATTAGTCTGCACGATCAGCAGCCAGTCGAGCCGTACACGGATGAACCAGGTGATGAGCCGCCAGCTTATACAGATGCAATCCCAGGAAGTTCAAGCCAGGTACAAGCTAGTCTCCCTGATCTGTCAACCCCTGGCGCCTATATCAATCCATACCAAGAAGTTACTGGAAGCCGTGTCGTCAAAACATATTCAGGACGTGAATCATACCTTGTTTCTGTCCATCCTGAATACACGAACACACCAAGTGCTCTATACAATGCCATATACAACCAAGCTTGTGTGGCTCCTACAGTTCTCATCTCTGTCACGGGAACCCACACGGTCAAGCAGCGGGATGGAAAAAAGGACTCCAGCTCCAAGGTTACGGACTTTGATTTTCGAATCGAGACTCGAGGAACTATATTGCCAATGTCTTCATACGATCTGACTCGATGTCCTTTATTCGATTTCTACCACGAACTAACCGTGGTGCGAGACAATGATAGACAGTCTGCGTATCGTGGAGGACGGTTCAAGAGCAAAGCAAGCAAGAAGTATAAACTCACTGGAGCTGGTGATCTGGAGCAAGCAGCGATGGATGGCGAACAGACCCAGGCCGAGACAAGTCTCGAGAGTATGCTGCAGGAATGGTGTACTCGATACTGCGAAGACAAGAGCGGAGTGAAATCGTACGTAAACGACAATCAACCCACGAATATAGTTACCAGTATGCTAACCACTCTTTCACAGATTTACGCTACGCAGCACAGTTGAAGGGCTCGACATGGCTATTATCAAAAATGAAATAACCTCCATCATCCGCTCGACAAACTACCGTGGCACTATCTCCGTTAACCAGGTAACAACCCACACAGCACTAACTATCTATTCACCACACTGGATAAACAAGCTCCGAACCAACAGATTCGTCTGGTGGATAGTTGTTATTCTTCAGCTTTGGATAATTACCTGGCCTATCATCATCTTGCTCGAAAGACGCTATGAGCCCGTTAAGGCCCAATACTACGTCCGCCGGGAATCAGGGTATAACCCTCCTTTCAAAGGAGAAGTTGAATGGACAAAGATGTTTGCTCGTGCTATTTGTGCGGCAGCGCTAAATAGAAGGAAGGATGAAATTGTTACCACAGCTGATGTGCAGCGGGCTAACGATGCGGCTCTCAGTGGTCGACGGGAGGAATCTGCAGCCGAAAGAGACAGGAGGGCAAGGCTGAACAGCGGAAATGGATCGTTTATGGATTCTGTTATTGGTATAGCTAGAGGCGTGTCCGAGCTGAGGAGTGAGTTTGATCATGCTAGAGGTTGGGGTGCGAATGAGTGAGGATGCATATGGGTTCATTATCTATCTTGTTTTCAGTAGAAGGGAGTATGATGGTAGTTAGTTTAGCTTTATTAGTTTGATACATTCTTTACGTAGGAAGAGCCATGGCAAAACGAAGCATACTTGTCTTCGATTTGATGTGAAGCGGCATAAAGTGCCCTTTGTCAACTAAAGTACATAGCGTTTCTCGCAACTTGAAAAGCAGATGCGCCTTTGAGCAATACCACACCTCCCTCCTCTGCCCGTCTGTTGCGCCGTGTTAAAGAACAAGCAAGTAGTAACAACTATAACGATCAAACGAAAGAAAAGCAAAAACAAACGTCCCCTTTTAGCTCCGTGCCATGGTCATGGTCGTAGTCATCGTAAGTCCCATCCTTGACGCCACGAAATGTGCAAATTGCCGCCTTGGTGATAATACATGAGTGAGAAGGGAAGGGTGAAAAAAAGACAAAAGGGAGAAAATACCAAAGTGAGTTAAATACAGAAGATGAATGAGTGTTAGAAGTTGGAGCATATCGCAAAGGATATCAGTAAAACAGAAGTGCGTGACAGAAGGGAATGAAAAGGTAGATGTGTAGTTGCATAAAATAGGTAGGATGGGGTATTGAACGCAGGCAGGCAGGCCCAGGATGTCCTGTTTCTGTTCTCCCAAGGTGATGAATGGTCGATTCAATGGTCCTTTGCAAACCAATTTCAAGGCAATGCAAGACTCAGGAGTAGGAAGAACAAAAAGGGCAAGATTGAAGTCAAAGAAACCTGGTAGTTGAACGGGGTGGCAATAGCCTTGATACCCAAATCTGCAAAGGGGGAGCCAGGCAGATAAATATGTTGAACCAGTGTTTGACGGGTATGTTCCTGTGGATGTGGACGGTTCTGCCCAAGCTCCGTGCTAGCCTGATTTGACCTGTGTTTTCGGGGTATGTGGGGTATGTAAGGCAAAAGACAGAAAGCAGGGAAGTAGAAGGAAAGATGGAAAGATGGAAAAGATAATACATGTAGAGAAGAAGGAAAAATGCTAAAAGAGTGAAAAAATTGCCACAAAGATAATTGAAGATAAAGAGACGAGGCAAGGAACAAAAAAGCATCGAGATCGACGATGTGGTGTCACTTTAGTTGAACCGGAAAGTTCAAGTGCATGATGGTATGAAAGATCGGTAAGTATGAGGATGAATTATCCAGAGAGATGGTGATGATGGCGACTGCCACCGGCTGGTTCATACCAAGGACTCATAATGCTAGAACTCATCTGTTCCATGCGATCAGAGTGGGCTGGCCAGTCACGAGTCCAGTGAGATTCACGCTCGGCTGCGGTAGTGCCACGGTCGAACTGAGAGCGACGACGACGTTGCTCATCACGGTATTGCTGACCGACTCTAGGAGCGAACAAGCCTGTAAGGAGAGTCAGATACTGCATAAATACGGCGATGGGCAATGATGTGCATACCGACATGCTCGGCATTTTCAACACTGCGGCGCATCTTGGATGGGTTGTCAGGGCCAGGGAAGTGGTCTTCAGTGCCAGCCATTGGGCCAATGCCAGTATGAAAGATCTAAAAGTTGTTAGTGAGGCTGTTAAATGAGAAAAAGGGTGATATATCGGTGATATGCTTACCTTTGGGCGGAACGAGGGATGTTCGAGCATAACAGAGCTGTTGCGGAACTTTTGAACAAGGCAGTCTTTTCCTTGAATGGCTGGTACGGTGTTATTATATATACACGACAAATTAAGAAAGATTAAAACACTTACTGGCGTAGGAAATCTCAGCAACTTTGTCACTGTTGAAGCAGTTCCTATTGGGAAGATTAGTAAATGTGGGTATGAGCAGATGGATATAAGAATGAAATACCAAGAACGACCAGCACGGGCTTTGGCAAACTGTATGCTAGTTAGTAAGTGCTTTTTTTAGTTGGTTGACATATAGATGTGGAACTCACATCAATAATGTCAATTGGCTATATGGCAAGTTAGCATCGAATGTCAGATAGACGGACGACAGGGAGGCGACCTACATCTTCAAAATTGATGAATGCATAGCCGACGCTATTGGATGATTAGGAGTAAGCTCATGATGTGATTATCAGAGGGAGTGTAAACTGACTTGCAGTTGTTGGCAAAATCTATAACAGGTTAGCTGATGTAAACTGAAGACGAAAGGAAAGTAAGCTTCTTACCAATGCGAAGATACATAAAGTCGTATTTGCCATGACTAGTCTCATCCACGATATCCTTAAGCATAGCTTGATCAATTTTGTTCGGGATATTGCGGAGCATGATCTAGATGAGCTCAAAGTTAGACAAGGCATTGGGAAGGAAAAGAGTATAATACTAACTGTAGTGCGGACATCGAGGCCAAGACGAATGCGTTCAATGTCAACATGGTTCTGGTTCATGTTGTTATGAGTACTGTTGCGGTTACGTCCAGAGCCATGACGAGAACGGAAGTTGTGGCACTCATCAGATCTGCGGTTCCAAGTTGCAACTGCAGGATCACCAATGGGGATGGTAGAACGGCCCGGTTGGGCTGAGCTCCATGTAAGGGTTAGGGGAGGCAAAGCTTCGACGACGGGCCATGGGAATAGCGCGGTCGTTCATGATAATTGGAGAAGTGCGAGGAGCAGGCTCTTCAACTGGGTGATGGGCATGTGCATGATAAGTGACATCAGGTTTGAAGTACTTGACATCGATGACGCACTCCTGTGGGATGATATATGAGCAAGAGAAAAACCTAGGTCAAGTAGGGAAAGAAGACTTACAGGAAGAGAAGAGCCATTGAGGCCAGAAACGACGTTGTCGGCAGCGCGAGTATCACTGAATTCAACATGGAAATTGACGATGTTGTTGTGATCAGTGGGAATGCTGTGGAAGGCTTTGACTTCACCGTAGGTGGAGAGCAAGGCCTTGAAAGAGTGAGAGATGATACGGCCATCTGTCTCCTCAGGACCACTATTGTAATAGACAGTTGCGAAGATTTGTCCTTCATAGTCGGAGGTGGTTGGGGCAAGCGAAGGCTCAAACTTTTGGGCGAACTCCTTTGCAGTCAAGGCATGGAAACGCCAATTGGCGAAGAAGGACTTTGCTTTGACGGCGGCCATCTTTGCTTCGTAGATGTCCGTGAAACCAACGTAGATTCTGCCATGAGAAGCAAGCTCAGAGAGGACGGGTCCCTTGACTGTGTTGAATTCACGGTGCTGAGAATGTGTTAGTAGGGAAACAAAGAAAGAAAACGAAGATGAGGCAAAACGAGGAGAAAAGATGCAAAAATTTCTTACATTGAAGATTGCAGCAATATCATGGTAAGGCATGTCCACTGGGACACCTTCGATGACAAATGCACGATTTCTGTTCTCAGCATCAAAATGGCCTTGTTGGTAGTACATGGCATAGGGACCGGGAATGTATTTGGAGCTGGAAGAAGAAGGAGGAGAGACTCTGGCACCGCCAATTGGACCAAAATCAACAGAGCCACGAGGAGTGAAGGCACTGACAAGGCCAGGAGTATCAGGAACAGAAGTCTTAGTTAGATCAGCAAGATTGGCAGGATTCTGGTCCTGGATGAAGGTAGGAGAAGACATGGGGCCAGACAATGCGTTTCTGTCGAAACTGCCAGGAGTGAAACTGCATGCAGTGGGAGAAAGCTGAATACGACCGGAAGAGAAGCCAGGAGGAGGAACAGTAATAAATGGATTTTGTGCTTCCCTGGACACTGAGTCAGAAAAATCTGAGTAGAAAACGAAGAAATTGAAGAAACCGAGGAGAATGAAGAAGATGAAGCAGAGAAAGGAGAAATTGATATATAAAGTGACTTACTGCTGAAAGATGGAGCGTCTCAGAGAGGTACGAAGGGGCAAGTCAGAAGAAGCGGGAGCAAACTGCTGGGAACGAGAATGCTCTGGAGAAAACGCAGTGAGTCTCGTCTCTGGCGAGCCATTGCGAGAATTAGCCTGCTCGGAGGACCGAGGACTGCTTGCGAGTCTCGACATTTCGTCTTGACAACTGTCACCAGTCAGGATATGATATATACGAGGGTATCTTGGTCTGAAGGCCTACCTGGCTGTCAATTGGGCTGGACCACAGAGTTGAAGATAGGGAGAAACGGAAGAAAGGTGAGAAACGGCGGATAGAGGATAGTTGTGAGTAGAAAATAGCTGAATCGGACGGAGTAGAGATAGCAACAGAGGAACTGGCAGAGGAATTGCGCTGGACAGAGCGACTGAACAGCTGCTGGAGGCGAAGATGAAGATGAGGACGAGGATGAAGAGAAGAAGAAAAGGACGAGAAGGAGGAAAAGAAAAAGAGGGCGGAAGAAGGACGACGACGAGGTTTAAGTAGACTCGACGGCGGGAGGAGGCTGGGAGGCGGAGAGCAAAGGCGGAGGCGGACGTCAAACCCCTCTTTTTTTCTGCCAGTTGCCAGCCCCTCCTTTCTGGGCAGGAAGAGGAGGAGGAGGAGGAGATAGGAAGAAGAAGAAGAAGAAGAAGAAGAGAGTGCAAGGAGAGTGCAGGAAGTGTCTGCTTACCAGGCACTGTGTAGGCACAAGGGCGGACAGCTGCTGCACAGGCTGGACAGCCACTGCCAGCATCGGGCAGGCCGACAGTCTGCTTGTCCACTAGGCTTGTCCACTAGGAGTTGCTGCTGTCACTCATTAAGTCAGCAAGAAAGAGGGGGAGGAGGAAGAACACAGCAGAGCGGAGACAGGGCAGGGACAGCGAGGACGCAGGCAGAAGGCAGTGGAAGCGGAAGAAGCTGGAGGAGGAGGAGGAGGAGAAGAAGAAGAAGAAGAAGAGACTTACTTTCTAGGAGTGACAGAGGCCCAGACAGTCACTGTATATTCCAGGAATCTAGGGGCTAGACACCCTAGAGAGGATATATATGTATCATCTGTTATTATCCATATTAACTATTGATATATAGAGGATATCAAACATATAGGATAAGATAGACACAGCTATATATATTAAAAGTATACACTCCAAGACATTACATATCATAAGGTATACTTAGATATATATTTAAAGCTGTGCAGAGAAAGGAAGAAAGAAAGAAGAAAAGAAGAGAGTGAAAAGGGGGTATTATTATACGGCAAGGAAGAGGTAGAATAAGGCCAAGAAGCCTTGCATCACTTCTAGGGCCAATTCCACCGTATTCACTTTAATTCTTCTCCCTCTCCTGCTTCTTTTTATTACTGGCTCGTTGGAGGTATCTGGGTATCTCATTTCCATGGCTGGCTCTCATCTGGCCTTTGAAGGAGACTCGGGTCAGTGAAGGGCGGCAGTCACCTTCAATTTTGGCCTCTTCCTGCTTTTTTTTGCTATCTTCTCCTTCTGCTGCTTCTGCTTCTTTTACTCTACTTGTCCAGGACTCCAGACCTCTCTTAACCTGGTACCTCGAGGTCTCTTGTTCATCTCCATCTCCATCCTCGTCTTTGTTGTTTTGATATTGACGTTGAGATTACCTAAACATGCCTCCACGTGACATCCCGCATCCTCCTCGAATCGGGAGAGAAGAAAAAAAAAAAGACCAAAAGCGCAAAAATAAAGCTGGTGGAGTCAACAATGAAAATAATAATAGCACCTTGCATATGAGATTTGCAGGCATCGCGAGGCATCCTGGGAGCCTGTCCCAGCGTTTACACCCATGCTGGAACTTACGGCGGGCGTCAAGTTGACCTATCTGGCAGAGGGTGCCGCCAACATAGTCTACAGTATCTCCTCTACTCCCCATCCCTCTGCTGCCCCCGCCAGAGCTTCGGACGTCTCAGGCACCAAATCACGAGCAGGATTGGGTCAAGCTCAAGCTGCGTATCCGGACAAACTGCTCCGTTTGAGGAAGAAAATCGCCTCAGGAACACCTTACCTGAAGATTACCCGCAGGTTCGACTCTCAGATCCGCTCGCTGTTCCGAGATGAGGAGCTCGTCTCGCAGGAACTTGTCAGGCTACCGGACGGCCTCACTGCGGCCTGCAATGAGCGTCTGAGGGATGATGAAGCGCAGGACCGCCGGCCCAGGAAGCGGCGAGGTGTCTATCTCTGCACCGACGAGCCATTTGGCCTTCTCATCAAGGACATGACTGCCTCCCCCGGCTCAGGCACAACGCTCTGGGAGTTCAAGCCCAAATGGCTCGTCCAGTCTCCCTCTGCGCCTCCAGACTCTCGCCGATGCCGCACCTGTGCTCTACGGGAAAAGAGGCAATTTACAACCAGTCAGGGAGCAACCATGGACAAGAAAGCTGAACAGCCTCATGTCAAGAGGTCATTCTGTCCTTTTGATTTCATCTCAAACAGGCTCGAGGACGTCATGTCCGCGGTATCGGTGATCATTGATAGCCCCGACGATGCTCGCCGAGTAGCTGCCTTCATATACCAAAACCCAACGCTGCTCAAACTTCGAGACAAGCAGCGCCAGATGAACGCTGTGGGGCTGGCAGGTATCCATGCGTCACCAGAGGAGAGAGCTATCTCCATGACGCTGAGAGACTGCACAATATTCGTCAAGGTAGGGTTTCATGCATACTGAACTGGATATACAAGGTCTCAGTGGCATCTTCTTCTTTCATCAACATTCATGTGTACACCGTATCTAACGGGTTTTTTGCAGGTTCCACAGAAACATAATGAACCCCTTGAGCTTCGCCTGAGCGATCTTGACTTCAAGAGTGAAGACGGGGGCAAATTCCAGTACTGGCAAGATACCGAGACTGAGCTGATCGAAGAGGGATGGTACTTGGGTGTTCACAGAAGTCAGGATAATCAAACCGAGTGCGCCCTTGGCCGCTAGTCCAACTTTGGTCCACATTCACACCGCACTTTTTGCCGTAGGTCAGACTAAATATAGCTTATGCAAAGTCGTTCACTTGGTTCATGCCGTTATCCTTTCATTAGCTAGCTATACAAGGCTGTTTAATATCTATGACTTTTTTTGGTCTCAAACACTTTCGACTTGGCCCTTCCTGCATCACGTGATGATTAAACTGAGTGCTTATATAATCAAATACATGATTGCGATACTCCGTTTAGATAGATATCAAAACCTCGCGATAGTGATGGACGATGCGACGGGGTGGTCGTTTGCTAGCTGATATACCCTTGAGCAAGGGTAACAGCGCATTATCTCGGGTCTTTAATACTGCATCCTTCCAATGAGAAGAACAATGCGCAACGTTTTCTTTTCTTATTACCTCATCTCAGTTTACATCAATTAATCAAGATGCCTGCCCCGATATCACATCGTAATGACCTCTCCTCCGTCCTGAACCAGGTAAGTCAATGATAAGCCGCTTGATAGTATGCTATTCCGGCTAAGTAAACAATACTTTGACAGATTGTCCTATCCTCCTCGGACACCGACTACCTCGACCAACTCATTCCTTCTATTCGCGAATATAGCCATGGAAACCGAACAACACAGCTCCTACACTCCCTCACGAAGTTTGCAGACGACCGGGAAGCAAAAATCGAAAGCATATGCAACTCTACACACCAAGACTTTGTCTCTTCGGTCAACCAACTCCTTCAAGTCCGCGAAGGTACCGTCAACCTCACCCAGGAGATCCTCGACCTCAACCAATCCATCCTCGCCAGTACAAAGCGCCTAGCCGAACAAAAGAAGGCCCTTGTTGAATCGCGCAGCCATCGCCAGAACATCGACGAGACCTCCAAGGCCCTGCAGGATTGTCTGGAGGTTCTCCGCCTCGCAAACCAAGTTCATGAACTACTTGCTAAGAAGAACCATTATGCCGCGCTCAGAGCTCTAGATGAGTTGCAGAATGTCCACCTCAAGGGTGTCACGCAGTATAAGATCGCAGAAGTGATACAGCGATCCGTACCAATGACGCAGAAGGCGATTGCGGATGCGGTCATGGACGATTTGAATACGTGGTTATACCGCATTCGTGAAATGTCGCAGTACCTAGGTGAACTATCGCTATTCCACACGGATAAGCGAAAGGAGAGGCTAGCAGAGCGTAGTGAGAAGATACCCTACCTGTCGCGGTTTAAACTCAATTCAGCTATCGAACTAGTGTCTGATGAGATGGAGGAGTTTGATTTACTTTATAATGATGACCTGCAAGTGGACTTCTCGCCCTTGCTGGAGTGTATGCATATACACCAGTCTCTGGGCCAGATGGACAAGTTCCAGGTTGAGTATGCGACGACGAGAAGACAGCAAAAGGATCTCCTGCTGCCTACTTCCATCACTTTACTGTCAGAAGATGGCTCGAGTCTGCATACTCTGCTGGAAGAGATTGCTGGTTTTGCCTTGGTTGAGCGAGCTACAATGAAGAGAGTCCCCGAGTTGAGATCTCCTGTAGATGTAAGTGGCTCTCACTCGTTTATTTATCAAAGAGTAAATTAATTATATCCCTGAAAACAGGTCGAAGAACTATGGGATTCAATGTCTCAGACTGCTGTCGGGTTGATTTCAAAGGCGTTGCCGACAGTTGATAACTCGGAGGATATCCTTAAGATCAAGAATCTCATTACTCTTTTTATGCAAACTATGAGCGTATGTCCACCTCTCCTCCCAACCACCACTATTAGACTGCTAACTTAATTTGCCTTCAAGTCATTCTCTGTTGGCCCATTTGATAGACTTCTTCTTACATTATTCGAAAAATATACAGAACTACTAAAAAGGAGATTTAGTGATGATTTCCAAGAGGTTAGTGCTTATCTTGTATTTCTATCACTAGTTGCTTACTTTGCATCAGATCGTTCAAACAGATGATTACATGCCCATGCCCATCCGGAGTGACGAGGAGTATGACAAAGTCCTAAATGTCAGCTGGTATACTCCCGAGAAACCTCGAGAAGAACAAACGTAAGACTTTATCATATGCCCCTTGATACATCTGATTTTTCCTAACGGTAATGCAGCTATCCTTGTGTCCTACCGTTCTCACAGATGTATCCTTTGTGCTGCATCGATATCAGAAACCTTTTAAACCAGTTCTACTATTTCTCAGGAGACAACTTCAATCATCCAGCTGTTATAGATGAAACCGTTCGAAGTGTACGTTTATGACTCCCTCCGGTTATTCAAACTTCTCTTCACAATCTCTTTCAATTCATCGCTTCAGTTACTAAAAAATTTTACAGTCACTGGATGAGCTCCTCTGCAACAAAGTATGCGAAATGCTCACAGAGCGCCTGGGTTCGCAATACCTTGGCCAAATAGTGCAAATCCTCATAAACCTGGAGCACTTCGAAATTGCATGTCAGGAACTCGAAGTTCTTCTGGCAGCTGCCCGATCATCCAACTCCGGCGAGGGTCCTATCGCCCTTAATGCCACGGAGAAGTTCCGCATGAACAAGAAAGCCGCTGAGAAACGGATCTTCGAGGTCGTCAACTCGAAGATCGACGACCTTATCGAAACAGCTGAATACGACTGGAATGCACCTAAGCTACAAATGGAACCAAGCAATTACATGCAGACGCTGACGAGATTCTTGTCGAACATCATGAACTCTACGCTTCTCGGTCTGCCAACGGAGATCAAGGAGCTTATATATTTCGATGCCCTCAGCCATGTTGCTAATAGGGTTATAGTAAGTGGTCTCTTGCTTCCAACTTGACGCAGGTTGTACTTGTCTAAAACTTCAATCACCAGGCCCTCCCACTCGATCCTGAGGTTAAAATAATCAATCCAAACGGGGTTGCTGCATTGGCCCGAGATGCAGACTACCTGTCGAAATTCGTGGATAGTTTAGAAGTCCCCATCCTACGAGAAAACCTTGATGAATTACAACAAACTGTCCAATTGATGATGGCCGAAAACACCGATGAGTATTACGACATTGCGGTGAGAAACAAGAAGTACGGACGCGTTGATCCTATGAACGGACCAGTCTTGCTTGAAAAGTAAGTCTCTGTCTACCCGCTTTCGCCGTTATCTTACAGTATCTTGGAGAACACAAAAACTGGCCAAACGACTCACACTAACATTTACATAGGCTTTCTCGAGCGGTACAAAGTCCATCCAAGCCAGACAGCAAATTCAGCCTGTCAAATCGGTTTGGAAAGAAGTATTGAACCGAACCGAGCCGAGCCCGATGTCATGTCTTCAAGAACAACGGAGGGGGATCTTTCTTTGAAATATACACGTCGTTATGTACTATATATACCCGCCACGGTTGACGCTACCTTCAGACGCCTCCCCGCCTTGCAATCTTATTAATATGCCCCATTGAGAGATGTTGAAAACTGTACAAGAGAAGCCTTGGGAATGGAACAGGATAATTTGAAATAAGGGGCGAGGCAAGGAGGAAGATGCACGGCTTGATGATACCAAATTCTTTTCATGTAAGGGGACGGGAGAGACGGGCGAACAGACGGACAGCAGCGGAATAAGCAGTGGTAGGGTAGGCAGGCGGAAATGATAACGATAGCACCCAGCAAACGACAATCAATACTTAGTAACAACCCACATCTCTGAGTCTCGACGGGCACCAAGAATGAGGGAGGGGGGAAGGGAAAAAGGTATCAAGAAGTGGTTGAAAAGGGCAACGGAGGTGAGAGTAGTGAGCTTAGAATGACAGGTCATAAGAATAATAAAAACGTATATAATTAAGGTTTCGTCCCACCAGGAGCTCCGTTTTCTTGCCCATTAATCCCTAGAGAGCGATTGTCGAGTCGCCCTTTTGGGAATCTACTTTGATAGTGCACCGACTTGGTATGTAACATATGAATTAGAAGGAAAATCTCAGGGTCGCTCGCACCGACATCCGGAGCTCAATCGGCTGCTTTCAACTTTGATCACTGTAAAGTGGAAGGTTAGGCACCGATGCATGAGGGAGGGAAGCCTTGGAAACAAAACTGTATAGCACGCGGGGGAGTACACTCACCTGCTGAGGGGGTAATTGAGAATATCCATACATCTCGCCAAACATCTGGGGTTGGGGATGGCCGTAGGCAGGGTCTGACTGTACTGCCCCACCGTACATGGGAGGCTGCTGTCTGTAGTCCTGTTCCTGGCCGAGGGGATGCTGTCCCATGGCGCCGTACTCTGGAGGGCCCATGGGGTGCTGCTGAGGTACACCTGGTGGCTGGGGTGGTAGCTGGCCATGTCCTGGCGCCTGAGGGGCACCGGGGGCCTGGGGAGCTGACCGTTTGGTATGAGATGTAGCTTCTTCCCTGGGAACAATATCGATCAGGAAATCAAACATGTCTGACTTGGCCAGAGCAGCTGCAATGTCTGATCGCTGCAAGGTACGTCGTTTGTTGTCTTCGGCATGTATCCAGGCGCGCATGGTCAATTCAGTTATGAATACGTCGCAGCCTTTGGCGAACAGGATGGGCGCTTCGGCGGAAATCATCTTCACTTCCGGGTCGGCTTTCATCACCTTTTTGATACGTGCCAGCGGTAGTTGGTGGATTTTGTAGTCATGGTTATCAGACTCGAGGTGGTTGATGGTGTGCTGCCAGTATGTCGTCAAGATATCACGCGCAGAGCCCTGGAGGCCCTGATTGACCTGTTCCGCCATGATTCAACGGTTAGCGCGCGTGCTTCCAGAATGGTGAGGGTAGAAAGATGGGTTATGCGACTCCATACGTTTGCCCATGTACCTGCATATAGCTCTGGAACCGGCGCGTATCCTTGTGCAGAGAGCTGGTCCATCAAAAACAACCAATTAGTGTCCGGCCTTTCGTATATCTATGTGTGTGTCTATAGGACAAGCATCGAACCATCTCTATGGAGAGGATTACTGCTGATCAAACGTGTGTATGTGGGGGGAAGAGGGAGAAGAGGGAGTATAATTCTCTCTTTAGACATACCGCTGCGCTTGCGCCTGGAGGAGAGAAAGCCGTGATGTCAGCACATATATATCTTTTTGGGTGTTATTTTGCAGCAAACAGAAGAGGAAGAGCAGGAGAAAGCAGCTGGACGAACCATAGTGGCCCCCATTCCGGGTGTCATATACCGGCGGCGACTGCTGTGACTGCGGCTGCGACGACGCTGGCTGGTGGTGCATGAGGTTCTGACGAGCGGATTGCGATGGCTGGCCCGCAGCCTGGTTTTGTTGCTCCATAAGTGTGAGTGCGTGTGTGTGTCTGTCTGGCTGGCTGGCTGGCTGGCTGGCTCTGGTGCGAGTTGTCTGTTGACGCCTTCAGTCCGTCGTCGTCTGCGTCCGATGCGAGATGCGGCGATGCTGGCTATCTGCGAAGGAGGACGGCAGGCCGGATCGAAGTCGTGAAGAGCTGCTGGTCGAGTGGCGGTGAAAAAGGGCCGCGAGGAAAAGAGGCCTAAAGTGTTACCGTGTTGGGTGGGGAGGTGAGGCCGGAGCAGCGAAGAGCAGAGGAGACGGGATGCTGCGCCCTCGAGCGAGATGTTATATGGGCAGGACGACGGGTCTCGCAGCCGCCAGACGGGAGTGCGCCTTGAGCTGAGGATGGCTAATTAGTTGGCGGTTCTTCTTTTCTTCTTCTAGGACGCTCTTCCGTCGCGATGGCAAGGATTAGTTCGAGTTAAAGGGGAAAGGCAGAGAAAGACGAAGACGAGGAAGACGAAGGAGAAGAGCTTCTTTTCTGGTAGCTTGGAGGAGGGAAAAAACCAATAAAGGAGCTGGTCCTAGGTTACCAGCATCCAATATAAACTACTGAGGACGACAACTGCTGAGGAAAACGGACTATATATAATAATAACTACTCGACTATAGAGGACGGGCGTGCCTCCAGTCTCTGCGCCCATCGCCGTCTCGCAGGTACCTGCTTCTCGGTGTAACCGCGCACCCGAATCCCTCGATGACATCTCCATGCTCCAGCGAGCAGCGCGTCCAGACGATGACGGCACACCAGTGATGGGCTCTCTCCATACGCCAGCCAGCCAGAACAGCCATGAGACAGCGGCCGCTCACCAAACAATCACCTCCCAGCGCCCCAATCATGGGCTGCGAACCCGGTCAAGGATTGGAACACCGTCTCCGGCAGCGGCAGCTGGTCCTCGAATCGGATGCGCTGTCCACCCCCCCTTGGCAGCCCTATCCGCCCAAGATTGGGCGCCAATGAAGCACCAGCGAAGCGTTGCTTGACGTCCCAAAGGGCCTCCCCTCGCTCGCAACTCTGTCTCCAATCGTGTGCGGCGTCGCGTGTATTTCGACGTTCGGCCACCCCTTGGGGATTCGATGCGTTGTTATTATTGGGACAGTTGGGCGCAAAGGGGGGATCTGGCCTGCATTGCAGCTGGGCAATCAGGTGGCGTGGTCGCTTCGGTCGTCTACGGCGGGTTCGTTGAGCTCCCCCGTCTGTCTGTCTCTCTGTGCTGTCGTCTGTCTCTGTCTCCCTGTCTCCCTGTCTCCCTGTCTGTTTGTCTCGAAGAAGAAAACATCACCAAAACATCCCCTTCGATCCGTCAAAGATGATTTGGAAATACGAAGCAAAAAAAAAAAGAGCGAAAAAAACAAGCAGAAAAAAAGCAGTTGCTTTATCCTAATTGGGCAATTCCACTCCCCTTCGCGGGCGCAATAATCATATCACGTGATGATATTATATTTAACTTTACTCGCACAAGAGAAAAAAAAAATTCGGGTTTTCTTCTTTTTTCACTTTTTGAATGTCAACAGAAGAGAAGAAAGACGCATAATAGAGGGAGAATAAGGGCAGTGCGATGGCCTGTCGAGCTACTTGAACCTCCTTCTCGAGCTGCACAAGGGACGGCTCAGGCGGAAAGCATGTCTGTTGAAGTGGTGGTCGTGAATCCAGCCTCCAAGATGGAGAAGGACGAGGAGGAGCTCTCTGAAGAGCAGATCCAGAGTCTCTTGCTCGAAGCTGAAAAAAGGTTGAAGAAGGCGTCTGGCAGCTCTAGCAAGCAGGACGGTGATGACGGAGCCGTCTCCCTCGCTACAGGACAGGAGGTCGGCGGCTCTGCCTCGCGGCCAAAGTGTGTACTTTCTGCACCCCAAATTTTTTTTTTTTTTTACCTTATATTGTACTTTCATACTGATATACCCTGCAGAGTCCCGAGTTTAAACCATAAGCAAGCAGTTCAGCCGTATGTGCGGCAGTCCAATAGCATTGCTACTATCGACAAATCCAGACTGGTCCCGGAGTCGGCAAAGAAGCTTGCTGAGACCATTCACACAGTGGAACAACCGCTTGTCAAGGTAAGCCCATAATAAACCTCCTTTTTTTTCACTCACACTATCCCTCGAGTCCGTTATGAGGAAAAATTATCCCAAGCCTTGTGCTCTTGACGCAGGTTTGTAGTCCGTCTTGGACTATGCTGCTCCCATGAAAGTTTCTTTTAATCATAGTTACTCTGAACAATGCTCGACCCTTTTGCAATTTAATCACCCATTATAAAACGAACACACCTAGTTGAACACCATGCTAACGAGTGGTCAGAACAAGGAAAAACCAACTTCTGGGCCGAAGTGGTTCAATCTACCCAAGACCGTAGTTACTCCCGAATTAAAGCGGGATCTTCAGATTCTCCGCATGAGATCCGTACTAGATCCTCACCGCCACTACAAGAAGGAGAATGGCAAGGCCAAGATACCAGAGTATTCCCAGGTTGGTACAATAATTGAAGGACCCACCGAATTCTTCAGCGCCCGTATCACAAAGAAAGAGCGCAAGAACAATTTTGCAGAAGAAATAATGGCTGCTGAGAAAGAGAGCGGCCGCTTCAAGCGCAAGTATGCTGAAATTCAGGAAGCCAAGGCCAGCGGGAAGAAGGCATATTACAAGAAATTAAAGGCAAAGCGTGCCAGGCCAATGAAATGATTACAATTGCCCTTGGGGACTGACTGTATATCTAACTCTCTATACATCGATGACCCTAGATGTGACGGGGCCTGTCTGCTGTCGAGTCAAGCGGGGCGATATCACAACGCCAGATTTCCGTGTTCGCCCAATCATTGAGCAAACATGTCCTCAACAGCTTGCGAGACAAGTTTCTATGTGGTTGGGCAACAAGGTTAGCTATCATATCATTGGGCTTGCTTAGGTGTCCATGGATTTGGTGTGCTGCGTACCTGCATGTCTGACGCAGCCTCTCGACCAGCTTCCAGCACTTCCTCGTGGTTGGCCTTGCCTTCGTCAACGATAATGTTGAGCTCTTCTGCCGTCGACTTCTGAAGCAGATGGTCATCGCCACGAGGAGCCGGTGACAAGACACAGTTATTTGTTACCAGGCTCAGGGCAAGTACCTTCATGCCACAGTGCCGTGCCACAATGATTTCCGGTACAGTCGACATACCAACTGTATCGGCACCCAACATTCTCATCATCCGACACTCAGCTCGAGTCTCGAAGCTACATTTTTAGCAGTATTATTAGCCCTCTAGTTCTCTGCAAGCACGTGATGATACCTTTTTCCAAATTCTCAAGGGCTTAGCCTCACCTTGGGCCAGAACAGTACGCATATACTCCTTCATGGATGCGTCGCTTTGATTCCGCAGGCACAACTTTTTTCCAAGCTCGGTGTGCTGTCCGGCGCAGTTTTAAATCGTATGCATCGGACAGTGGCGGAAAGCGAGTCCCGAACTCTTCGGCATTTGGCCCACGCAGGGGGTGAGCTCCTGAAATGCCAGCAAGGAATAAATGCTGCAGTGGAAAGCGACTTTTAGTAACAGATTCCAAAGTTGCCTGAGGTTGTGGAAAAGACGAACGTCGTTGAGTATGACCACGTCTCCTACAACATAGTCGGGATTCAACCCTCCGCATGCATTTGTTACTATTCCCTGTCAGCTAGCCCAATTCTTCACTATTCGCAATAACAATCTACTCTTTAGGACGCCCTTACCAACTACTGTCTCAACTCCAAGGAGCTTGAATATACGCACTGGCAGCGTCACCTTCTGCATTGAATGCCCCTCGTAAAAACTGTGGTTTTCGTCAACATCGTATTCATGTTTGGAGTGGATAGGCGTCTTACTGGGCTCTTCCAACCATCAACACGGCTGGGATCTTAGACCCTAGATATCCAAAGACCAGCTTTCCCAAATGTCCGGGAACTAGTAAAGTACCACGATATCAGATAGAACATCCTAGACGAATCCTCACATTCCTTACCTGTAGACCTGGGAAAATTCGGGATGGAGCCATAATCAAATTCGCACTTCGTCTCTGGATCTATGGTATCAGCAAGTCCACCCAGGCCAGAGCCACAAATAATAGCAACCCGAGGCTTTTGGAAAGCCTCTGGTAACTGAGGTCTGAGGTATTCTACAGCAGCCTGTGCCTGTTCGAAAACAGAAGCTTCTGCCATAGTTATCTGCCGTCCCTTTTTTTTTTAAGTCTTTGCCAAAAGTCACGAGTCAAATTATGTTAATGCGTAAATGTTGGCGTTCTGCAGGTTCTTTTGTACACTCCAAACAGAGCGTGTCTATTTCCAAGTGCGAGAACTCAATAGACCAACAAGATAAGCTTCTTACTCTTCCAACGAAAAGGGCAGCAGCGGTTTATCTATATATATTAATTCCAGCCTTGAACCTAGGTGAAACGATTTTTTTTAAACGGAGCTCCCCGCAGGCCAAAATGGTACTCCCCTAGACGCAGGGCTTGATCCTCATTGGCTGGTGTTAAAATGTGATTATATAATATTTCGAGAAGAAAAATCGCAGTTGAAGCAGAAAGTTGAATTGGACAAAGCGACGAGCAGCGAGATAGCAGCAAACACACAGCCAGCACGCTCACAATGTTCTCGCCGTCCTATTTCCGCTCCGTGCTGGGAGCTACCAAACGAATCAAGGTGGGTCTTGTCTTCTCTGCAGATGTCATGGGAGCTCAATGGCTAATTGTAGCATTTCAACAGGTCACCAATCTCTTCCGTCCTCTCTCAACTTCTTCTTCTTCTTCCTCCGATATACCTCCAGAGATTCTATCAGCTATACAGAAAGGCAGTGGGGAATCAAGCTCCGGAACTCCTGAAATAAAGTGAGATTGGCGGCCGGCGAGATTTTACTTTTCCACAACGCCCGCATCAAGAAATATCATATCTAACTAGTGATCCCTACAGGCGAGAAGTCTTTACCGAGCCCGAACCAGATAGTAAACCACAAGAATGGTAAGATTGTTTGCTCCGCTTTCAATAGCACGACAATAAACATTTGCGCTTTCCTTTCAATTTTCCAACGCACCTGAGCCCGGCTGACCTGACACCCTAACCTTGCAGGAATGACCGATTAGAAGTCTACAAAGAAAAGTTTCGCTTGCCCAAAGCCGTTCAGGCTGCGTACATGAAACCTCTAAAGCGGAAACCGGAATACGGTTTACCAGTTTGCAACCTACAGCTCCGCTCGTACAGCGCACGCCACGTTGAATTCTTTGCTGATTTCGCACTCCGTGCCGCTTACTACCTTAACATCCCCGCCTCCGGACCAGTACCGCTACCGCGTATAGTTGAGAGATGGACTGTCATTCGAAGTCCCTTCGTACACAAGAAGAGCAAGGAGAACTTTGAACGTATAACATGTCGAAGGCTGATACAGCTTCAGGATGGCCATCCGGAAGCCGTCCAAGCGTGGTTGGCCTTTTTGAGAAAACACGCCTTCCACGGTGTTGGTATGAAAGCAAATGTATTTGAGCATGCTTCTCTAGGTATGTCACTGTCCCTGGCAGATTGGGCTAGAAGTGGCTGTTTGGTACTAATACTATAAATTATAGATGTCGGAAAGGAGATGGATACAGCAGCCAAAAGCCTTGAGAAGGCTCTTGATGAGGAACTTGCACATTTTGGAGCAAAGAAGGGCGCCGAGTTCCCAGAATCCCTTGCTTCTATGCTTGAAAGAGAGACACAGACAAGAACAGCTGCACCACTCACAGAGGGGCGAAAGGGCTGATATGCATGTTTCTACCCTTTTGCTTGCCTTTGCTACATTTTTAATCTGTAACATATGACGTTTGATATTGGATGGATGCTGTGTTTCTAGCTGGCTGTTTTTTCAAATCATCTATCAGGACCTGTATACTTATCAAACCACCTTTCTTGATCACCATACATTCTTCATTCGTGATCAGCGGAAGCAGTTCTATGTAGATATTCCCTAGCATAAGGTTATCTAGAGTAATCATCAATCGGCACCAGTCGAAGTGCTTTATTGTCTAAATTTAGCCGTAACCTTACCACGTGACGCTTGAAGCTCTCTTCCCAAAGCTTTCAACGGCTGCAAACATTGAAAACCGACACCAAGCTTCAGGATGTTCACCCCGGCCTCTCAGAAATCTCTTCTGAGATGCTGCAGACGACATATACCATTAGAATACTCATTAAGCGCAAGATATAACCCCCAATGGCTTCGGTACAGTTCCACGACGACTGAACCTGCACCGCCAAAGGAGACAGTCATTTTCTCCGGTATACAGCCCACGGGCATTCCACATCTCGGTAACTACCTCGGAGCATTACGTGCCTGGGTAGACCTACAGAATACCTCCTCGCCAGATACGAGACTGATATATTCGATCGTCGATCTACATGCGCTCACACTACCGAAACCCGCAGAGGACTTGCGACGATGGCGGAAGGAAGCTCTCGCCGTGCTGTTGGCGATAGGAATAAAGCCAGAGAGGGCTACATTATTCTACCAATCCAATGTTCGTCTGAAAATTGCATAGGACATAAATTGAAAATGGCTTTCGTGAGAATGTTGCTGATAATGTGCTGTTTGGGGAGGGTATAGGTGCCGGCGCATTCGGAATTGATGTGGATATTAAGCGTGAACGCATCGACAGGATATCTATCGAGGATGACACAGTGGAAGGTAAGCTATGAACACCTAAGCTGCAATAAGCGAAAGATCTAACGTCGTTGTCATGACAGAGTAAATTGAATCTACCCGAGAACGCGAAATTCGATCTCGCTGCGCGGAATCGACTGAAGCTCGGTCTCTTCTCATACCCCGTTCTACAAGCCGCTGATGTGCTTGTCCACCGGTGCGTGACTCAATATACCATTAATTTCTCGAGAGAAAATAGCAATTGACTGTTGACTGGGAGAACAGGGCAAATTACATACCCGTAGGGGAAGATCAGAAACAGCATATTGAATTTGCGCGCGAAGTCGCCAATGGTTTCAATCACTTACACGGGCCTGTTCTTACTGTCCCAGAAGCAATGATATGTAAGTTTTTCACCCTAGGATTTTCCTCTTTGCACTGGAATGCTAATTTACGACAATCAAGCACCCGCCAAACGAGTGATGTCACTAAAGAATCCAAAGCAGAAGATGTCCAAATCCGACGCAGACATCAGATCCAGAATCCTCGTCACCGATACGCCAATGGAGATCCACCACAAGATCCGTCTGGCATTGACAGATGCAGGTTCGACCATCACATACGACCCTGAGAAGAGGCCAGGTGTCTCCAATCTGCTTGAAATGTTCAGTCATGCCGAGGCCCTGACGTCTGGCCCCTCAGGCACCACCGGAAGGAGCCCGGCTGAAATAGCATTGGAATATGAGAACAGCAGCTTCAAGGCTCTCAAGCAGGATCTATCCTCCAAGTTAATTGAGATGTTAGGCTCAATTCGAGAACGGTATGTTGAAATCATGGAGGAAGACGCAAAAGTGGCGTCGTCTGGCTCATCAGACAAAGAAAGCTACTTGGGAATGGTGGCTCGTAAGGGAGCAGAAGAAGCCTCTGCCAACGCAGCAATTACGATGAGGCAAGTCAGAACTGCAATTGGGCTATCATAGCCTGGAAAATTTCCACTGCAATCGCCATGTATAATAAAATAGATTATTAAATACCTAATAAATGGCATATCATCCCCACCCTCCCTTGGCTCTCTCTCCGGGTATTTCAATTTTCAGGAATAACTAAATGGAGTCCTGTACTTATATTACCACTCACTTACTATACATCAGCCCAGAACATCCCGGTCCAAGTCCAGCCCAGACCGTGACAAGTTGAGAATTTTTTTCCCCTCTCTCTGTAAGTAAGCCAGGTTTGAGAATCGTGTCTGCCTTGAAGACGCGCCACCTGTCAGTTTGAAATATTTTTGTTTCATTTTTAGTCAAAATACGCTGAAGGCGACCCCTCCTCTCCGGCTCTCCTCCCTTGCGTGCAAACTTCAGGCCCAAGGAGACTCCGAGGCCCAATTGACTCACACCACTCGGACGAACAAGAACATTCGATCGGACTGATGACAAATTTTCGTCCGATAGGCAACAATTTTCTCAATCGAAGGCTCGGTTGTGAGTCAAACGAAATGGGCAATGCGAGTGCCTGATAGAATGTAATGGAATTGAAGGAAACATTGCGGCGCATCGGGCTGTATATTAAGCAAACTGGTCCGACTGCCGGAGTCTTCATCGCCATCGCGCGCTCTTATCCCCGAGCACGGGCAAGCCTCGATCCATCGAGAAGCCAGTCGGGACTGACAAGCCACCTTCGCAGGAACCCAAAAAATCCATCATCCGTCCTTGTTCCTTCTTGTTATTTGAGGGAACTAGCAGCTGCGAGATGACGTCTCCCCTTCGACGCGATTCGCTGGGCTCCGGTAATCCCGGACGAAACGACCTGCTTCTTGTCGACTGATTAGTTCATCAGTTAGGCAGCATCAAACGATATTAACTTACGATTGACTTGATAATGGGGAACATTGGAGGCAGAGCAAGCAATTCGGCTTCTTCTGGCGTGAATCAGGATGAGTGATAGAGTTTAGTTACCTAACTTAACCAGTTGACGGTCTTGTTTGTTACTTACGCCCGCCAGCCATCAGAGCGATCGACCTTGAGTTTGGTCCGCTATTTTTGCAAAACGCCGGTATCTTTAGTATCAATCGATTATGAGAGTAGGAAGGGCCAATACAAACGGAGGAACCAGACAACTGCAGAGGGGTAGATGGGTGGATGGATGGGCCCCCTGGGTTCGAGCGTGGATGCGTGATGCGACTGATACGCCACCAACCATGTAAGTTAACCAGTTACTAGTTAGTTAGCTTGTTAGATTGCTGTTGGAGTTATAGCTTATGGTTACTACTTCCCATCCCTCTGAAGGTGTGGTGATGGTGCAAGTATCGCCATGGTCATCCGCGCCCGTATGCCGTCGTACCATCGAGTTAATCTCGACTGTCCATGCGGAGACTTGCCGGGGCGGGCGAGTCC